GGAAGCTCCATAAAATAGTTGGTCCTGACTGGTTTAGTGCGTTTCTGTAACGTCATCCTGTACTGTCTATTAGCAAACCGGAAGCAACTTTTCAATAAAACGGACGTCAACGCATTTTTTGATATAGCTTCAGTTATGGAAAAATATAAATTTGAGCCTCACGAAATCTGGAACTTGACGAACCTGGGATTACAACTGTCCAAAGACCCGACCGCGTTGTTGCCAGAAGAGGATTCAAACAGGTTGGTTCGATAGTTTCATCAGAAAGAGGAACTCTTGTTACTTTAGCAAGTGCAACATCAGCTATTGGAAATTCCATACCTCCTTTTTTCATTTTTCCACGGGTACATTTCAAACCACATTTTTTAAATTCGACACCTCCTGGCTCACAAGGTTCAGCAAACCCATCAGGTTGGATGAAAGAGTCACATTTCTTGGAGTTTCTTAGATTTTTTCACCTTCATGTGAAAAGTACTGTGGAAAGACCATGCCTGCTTTTACTAGATAACCATGGATCACATCTGAGTATAGAAGGACTGAATTTTGCCAAAGCAAATGGCATTGTCATGCTCTCTTTTTACCCTCACTGTTCACATAAATTTCAACCTCTTGACCCTTTTAAGAAATTTGTAAATACTTCCTGCGATGCTTGGGTTTTAAATAATCCCGGTAAGACCATGACTATATACGACATACCTTCAGTGGTCTCTATTGCATACCCCGTCGTACTTACTCCCAAAAATATACAGTCTGGATTTCGGTTGTCGGGTGTGTTTCCTTACAACAGAGATATTTTCACGGATGATGACTTTCTTGCAAGCTCTGTCACTGATAGGACCAAACCCGGAAACCTTAAACGAAAAGGAAGTTGAGCCAAATCCAACCATCTTGAACGAAGATGAAACTGTAAGTATGATAAATATTAACACGCAGGAAGCAATAGATAATATACGAGAAGGCAAAACGGCTAATCAAACTACAGTATATTCAGATAAGAGATAGACCGGATGTAAACAAAAGGCTGGGGTGATTTTCACGCTAACGCCGCCGTCTCGACGTAAAACAGGAGCCCTCATTGGTCAATTCGCAATTAAATGCCTATGCCGAGCGGCACAGCAGTCGTATCAAGGCAGAGTCACATTCAGGTTCAGACGTGTTAAGTATGTCGTGTGCATCATTGCAATTTGATATTTCTTTGGACGTTTTCATTTGTTATCTTATTAAGTTGTTGAGTTTGTCGTTGTTATTGATTGTTATTGTTATCAACTGCTTGCGCAAAATGCCCAGTAGTACAGATACTGCCGATGAAGTTGTAAACTCCTGTAGTCCACCTAGGAAACGCTCTAAAAAAAGACACCTGAGTGCAGAAATGAAAGAGGTCATTTTGAATATATATAAGATCGAGCGCGAGGACAACGAGGCATCAACCATCAAAGAAATTGTTGTGAAGGTTTCTCACAAAGTTGGGGTGTGTCGCGCATCAGTGTTTAATGTGTTAAGACAATACAAAAAAAAATCACACCTTTTCTGAGCCAATGACCAGTAAACATCGCAAAAGTATTGTTAAATCATTGGATGAAGCTGATAAGCATGCGATTAGGAGGAAAGTGCATGAAATCTTCTTTAGGAATGAAATACCTACTATAGATAAAGTACTGCAGTAGGTAAATGGAGATACAACGTTGCCAAATTTCAAACGATCAACTTTCCATGCGTTACTGAAGCATTTAAATTTCAAATGGAAAAAACGAGGTCGTAATAGTTTACTACTGGATGGAGAAGAAATTGTGCTATGGAGGAGGGATTATTTAACAAAAATTGGGAAATATAGAAATCAAAACTGGAAGATTTATTACCTTGATGAAACGTGGGTAAACGCAGGACACACTACAAGTAAAGTATGGGTTGATGATTCTGTAACTTCATCCAGGAGGGCCTTTCTAGATGGACTGTCCACCGGATTAAAAAATCCAGCAGGTAAATACGAGTAATAGACAACAATCGGATGTTTTTCAAACCTTGGGAACAAGGTTCTAAACATTAATTCCAGGGGGCAGATAAAACATATTACAAGTAACAAAACTTTTATAACTTTCGATAAAATGCGTGGATGTTTTATTGTCATTTTCATTTGTTAGAACTTTTTTAAGCCATGTTTTTATGTGTTTTCGATATTTCAATAATTTTTTAATATAATCTTAAAATATGTCGAATATTATAAACTTAAAAAAAGTTACTAAGTTTTATATTGTGTACCGTTCCTAATATTTCTAATCATTTTAATTCATACTTTAAGCTTTATAAAGTTATAATTTGTTAATATTAATATTTGCGCGTATTTCAGGTTCCTGATCATTCATTTTTTAAAGGTTTATAACTTTAAATTAAATTGTGAAGCGCTGAGTAATCATACGACGTTCAATATTCTTTCTTTCAATATGACTAAATAATCCCAATTATAGCAATCTGATACTCATGTCTCAATGTTTTTTCGCTGAATGTGATGAAAACATTTGAAAAAGGTTCGCTTATTGAAATAAATCTACACCAGTTAGTACTTCGATTTCCAGGTAAAGGGAAAAGGCTCATTATCTGCCATATTGGCAGTGAGGATGGATTTGTTGTTGACGGTCTGTGGTGCTTTGAGTCTAAGAAAACTGGAGATTACCACGAGGAAATGAATGGCGAATCGTTTGAACAGTGGTTTTCAAAAATTTTACCGAACGAAAACGCAGTAATTGTGTTGGATAATGCGCCTTATCATTCTCGAAGAATGGAGAAGGTCCCAACAACGGCTTCAAGGAAAGTTGATGTTCAAAATTGGCTCCGCTCGAAAAATATCAACTTTGAAGAAGCAATGCTGAAAGTACAATTATTAAGAATTGTCAAGGATCACAAGGCGGAATATCAAAAATACGCCATTGACGACATGGCAGCAAGTCAAAATAAAACAGTGCTCCGTTTACCTCCATACCATTGCGAGCTCAATCCCATTGAGCTCATATGGGCAGAGGTTAAAAATTATATACCTAAGCACAATACAACTTTTAAATTTTGTGACCTCAAAGGACTTTTCAAAGAAGCACTAGAATTAATAACAGCGCAAAAATGGGAAAACTGTATTAAGCACGTGAAAGACAAAGTTGAAAAGAGAATGTGGGAACTGGACAATATTTTAGAGGAACAAGTCGAGCCATTCATTATTGACGTTGGTGCTTCAGGCAGTAGCGATGATGAAAGCTCATCAAGCTCATCTTTCCAATAAAATATGTCGTTCATCAAATTCGGTAAGTTATAAGTAATTATAAAGCTAGTGTATTTTTTAATTAATTATTGACATTTTTGAACCCATTTTGGCAAAACCTATTCAAGAATCTACTTTCTGACAATGTTCAACCATGCACATTTTTTACGTTTTGAACGTTTTAATTTGGTTACATATTTACCTAGAAATCAAAAAATATACTAATCAATATTCTAAAAGCAATTTTAAGAGATATACGATTATTTTTAATTTAGGCTAATTTAAACGCCATTTTGAGATTATATTCGACTGTATTTCACCAAACATCAGGCGGCATCCGAAGCTGGAAATCGAAGCGAAAATTTTGAAACCCTTATGTATATTTACATCATTATATATTTCTTACCCCACCCCCACATGATCCTATATCCATCACCAATCGTATACACATCGAATTGTGCTAATTTACTACAAAGTTACGCAAAGCAGCATCTACTATCTAAAATATGTACTGCGTGACTCTTAATACGTCCCTGTCGGATGTTACAGCGTTCGATGATCACGTGGTCTTGTTTATGTCCGGTCTATCTCTTATCTGAATATACTGTAGTTTTGATGATCCCTGCTGTAGTAGTTTAGTAAGGCTGCATGCGGGAATTATAGTATTTCCAGAAAGTTTAAGACCTTATCCAAAGGCATCGGCAAGAAAAATTAATCGAGTTTCCCGTCGTAAACGAGGGACTGCAATACTCACTTACACTCCAGTAAAAGAGGAATTAGAGAAAGAGAAAAATAAATGCTCGGACAAGAAAAAGAGGAACAGGGAAACAGTGAAAAGGGACGTTTTGATCCAGAAAAAATCCTGTTCAGATAATTAAACTGATGGAGAAGAATGTTTTTGCTTGATTTGTCTTGAACCATTTTCTAACAGCGCGTCAAATGAAGAATGGGTGAAATGCTTATCGTGTAATGGTTGGTCTCATGATGCGTGCACTGATGGACGCGAACTTTACATATGTCATAACTGCGATAGTGACTAATTGTAAAAAAAACTCTTCTACTTTTTTCTATCTTTATCTAAATACCAAATATTTATGTCTTATGTCTTATTTTTAATAATAAATATGTTTAAAAGTATGATATAAATTATTAATGATCTAAAATACACATGACAACCAACCCCAAGGAATGTGACATCCAGCCCCAGCAAGGGGCAAGCTGTCACATTTGTTTCTGTATTTTGAAACATTTTAATTTAATATTGTGAATTATTTTACAGCCTTATCGATTTTACATACTGTTCCTCAAGGATAAACCATATTAGTTATGCACCAAATATGTGCATATAACGCTTCAGATCGAATTAAAAAAAAAGAATTACTGAAAATTGTGACAATTAGCCGCGGTCTCCCCTACTGTATCTGGAAATATATCCATCGTAATCAGACAAGACAAAAACCTAGTAAATATTTTAAACTTTCTGAAATGGCCGCCAGGGGGGGCGTAATAGCAATCTTGAATCGAAAAAGGTGATGTTTCTGTGAATTCCGCTAACAACAAAATACCTGATCTTTAAATTCGAGGATAATCTGAACCTGAGCAATTTTTGCTGTATCTCTATAAATAAAGGTCTCCATACTATGCAGATTCACCATTAAAGGTGGCTTCATCGGTCCAAAGAATTTGAAATAAAAATTATCTATTTTTGCGTTCGAAACCAACCCATAAAATCGTTATAATCTTATTTTGATTCCAGATATCAACAGTGATTTTATCAATAATAGACACGACACTTTCGAAGATTCCCGTAAGGTGTGAAGGAGGTGGAGGTCTAAAGTACCTTTGGGGCGACGCTTTAAGCGACAACCCTGACTGCGTGGGGCCTAACAACTTGCCTTATCCAACGTAAGTATTTTATAGGTCACTGTTGCAAAAATGTCGAAAACCTCAGTGGTGGCGTTCCAGTGGCGTATACGAGGGTAGATCCTGCGGGCGTAATAATTAATTAATAAAATTAATTTTAGCTACGCATCCAGAAACAATGTATCATCTTTATCTTTTTTCTTTACGATTCGATATCGATATGTGACAAATTTTGAGTTCGATTTTGATATCCATTGATGGTAACCTCAAACATTTCAAATCTGTTTGAAAGCTTTATGAGATATATAGTTGTAGTCATCGTTATTGACGGTTAGGTCATCAACGCCATATGAAATGAGTAAACGGATCGAGTCTCCGTTCCATGGGCGCATCTTAATTTTCCTAGCTGAGGGAAAAATCTTCTAATTTAGCACATAGACATGGGTAGAGCATGTCACGCCATTTGATGTTTTTAAAGTTGAAATAAAAAATACATACGGAATTTATAAAATAAACATCGTCCATATCTATTCCTTCAAGTTGCGGCAAAAAATGGTCCTCTATCATCACGTGATATCGCTCAGAATTGACGAAAACGGCGTCCCCGGCCGCATTTTCGAAAAAGTAAGGTCCGATGATGCCTTTTGACCACAATGCACACCACACAGTCACTTTTTGAGGATGCATCGGCTGCTCTTGGTACTCACGGGGATTTTCGTTCGCCCAGATGCGGCAGTTTTGCTTGTTTACCGTCCCGTTCAAAGTGAAATGCGCTTCGTCGCTGAACATGATCTTTGATGAAAAATTGGCATCAATTTGGCGGTGTCCAAGGAGCCAATCTGAGAACGTTCGGCGCGAAAAATGGTCGGCCCGACGCAGCTCTTGTGTCAATTGGATCTTGTAGGCGTGTACATTCAAATCCTTGTGGAGAATGCGGAGCAAACTGGTTCTCGAAATGCCCAATTCTTGGGATCGACGCGTTGTTGATTGTTTCGGATCGTCTCTCACACTCTCCTTCACAACAGCAATATTTTCCGGTGTGCGAACGCTCCTTGGCCGGCCAGAGCCTGGCAGATTTGCCACAGAACCTGTTGCCTCGAATTTACGCACCAGACGACCGATGGTTGTTTCGTTTGGACGGTTGTTGCGACCGAAATGTTCACGAAGCGCGCGAAACGTGTTTTTTATTTTTGCACCATTTTTGTAGTGCTCTTGAATAACTTTAATGCGGTCTTCAATCGAATACGACTCCATAGCGATCAATGGTAAACATTCAACTAACAAAATGACATGTCGGTGACAGAAAATAAAGATGGCGTCTATGTCAAATTGACGTTTACTTTCCTGCGTCCCTATTGGACAACCCTATATAATACACAGTAACTAAATAAATTACTGCTAGACAAAAAATTGCATTTTGATGATAATGCTCTTAAACTCGCTTTTAAATAGATGTCGCCTTAATAAACATCAATCTTGTAACTTCCATATCTATCAAAATATTTAACAATCTACATTAAGGTAGGAACATAGAAAATTAAGAGTGAGTGATTATATTAGTCTCCTCCCTATTAAACACCTGATGCTTGTCCCAGTCGTTTTTAATGAAGCCCTTGGTATTTTAGCATTTTTCTGGGTTCTTTTGGGTGTGGATTAAAACACTGGATTCCACAAAAAGAAATGCACTGATTTATTTAACTTGACTATTTATGTCTGACTAATTCTTATGTCACGGTCCTGACAGACGCCGCCAGGCGGCTTGTGCGGCCGTGTACAAGCAGGGATCGGCCATTAAGCTCTGGCGAGTAGGAGACTCGACCAACAGATGGCGCTATTTGTCACACTATGGTTCATACACTTGTCCGAAACTGTGGCAGTCACCTTCGATAGAGAGCATCGTCAAAACTTTCTTGTCACCATAGCCATTTTTCCTAATATGGCGATCATAGTACTGTTTTGCCGCTCTGACGACAAAGTTTTCGAGACGGAGACACAAAACTGAAAAACGTATGTCTTTGAGCTTACCGAACAAATGTTCCCACACAGGGGTAGGTTGCATGTGTACAGGTATGTATGAGGGAGATGGAGATATATAAAGAGATACTATACTATAACTATCTAAAACTTTAATGACTCATCGATCTTCACGTGAACATCACTTAACTACCAGTAGTCGGCTGTTCATAGGCGGGGTATGAATGTTTAACATGGGTGAACTAGATTTGTCACATGCTTAATAAAGAGTGGTTTGAAACATATTGTAAGTCAAAAATTTGGGAATTACCTTTATTCATCGTCGCTTCCACTTACATCTGACAGTAATAAACTGTCGCTATCGCTTTCCTCGTTGAAATTGACTATAACTGGCTCTATGATGGTGTCGATGTGGTGGTCAAGCTGCCACATTTTTGTTTCTTCCTTCACAACATGACGGATAGCATTCTGCCAAGCTTCGGGCGTTACTAGCTGTATGGAAGTCTCAAGTAAAACCTTAACGTCTGGTAATTTGAAGGTTGTGTTATGGCGCGCAATATAACCCTTCACTTGAGCCCAGATGAGCTCCATTGGGTTCAGTCACGTAACTAATGTTCGCAGGTTTGGGCTGTTTAATTTTTTCATACAATTCCGCTTTCACACATGAATCGTCAAACAGGATTCCTTTTTCGCGCAACCATTGCTGCATGTCACTTTTTCGAGATCCCATAGTCGGTACACGTTCGGCTCGACGACTATGGTAGGAAGCATTATCCATGACGATCACAGAGTTGGGCTCAACTCGCTGAAGCACCCCTTGAAACCAGCTCTCGAAACAGCTGGCATTCATTTCGTCATGGTAATCACCTCCTTTCTTAGAGACGAAAATCAAGTCACACTCTTCTAAAAAGCCACTATCGCTACCAGTATGAGTTACGATCAATCTTTGACCTGTCCCTGACGGTCCACGAAGACCTGTTGACAAACCTTCAATGCTTGCTTGTCGGTTACTCACTACGTTTTTGTCTATCCATGTTTTTTTTAACTGTGTGAACTGCATTTACCCATGTCTCGTCCAAATAATAGATTTTTCTGCTTTGTCGCCTATATTCAATCATTTCGCGTAGGTATTTTCGACGCCAGGCGACTATTTCAGGTCTCTCTATCAATACTGACTTCCGATTACGCGTTTCGTAACGAAAATTAATTTCGCGCAGGGATTTCCTCATTACCTCGACGCTCATTTGGGGTATAATTTCATTTTCCTTGATCGCTGCATGTACAGCCTTGAGGGTTGGTATCTCATTCCTAAAGAAGAATGAATGTACGGTTCGCCTTAACGTCATTTTGCTATCGTCATCCAATTTAACGGCCTTTCGTTCCTTCAAATTAAACTTTGGATCAGTAGTAGCTCCAGTTTTCTCCTTTTCATGCACCACCCTGCGAATGGTCCACTCTGGAACGCCTGTCATACTTTCACAACGCGCGAGTGCATTTCCCTGCGACATAGTTCTGTTCAGATAATTGAACACGTTGAGCACGATTTCTTTCGCGTCCCTCTTCAGTGCTTTACGAAGCCGTCAACTTGTTCCCTGGCTTTCAGTACTTCCACTCGTGCCATTTGTACTCTCCATGGTTAAGTATAACCAAAACAGTAACCACAGAAACCACAACAATAACAATCACACAACAATTCTTATAAAAACACACAATATGCGATCGCTCAACGAAACACGTTCCAATGCGTTGCCGACGCCTATGAGTCTGCCGGTCGAGGCGCGTCTTTGATTTCATTGGTTCTACCGGCGGAGAACAATCAGCCATTATTTGCATCTCTGTCGGTGCTGTTGACCACCGCAAAGCCACAGAAACGACATATGTCGTACGCTATACGGCTGTACTGGAAGGAAGCCGGTATCGAGCTCCGATCACGTGTTGATCACGCGTATGAGTCATTACAGTTTTAAATAGTTGTAGCTTAGTAGCCTTACTTTGACCCGCCAAGAACGGTGACTACAACTATATCTACATAAACGGTTGTTTTATAACGGGCCATAAAATACGTATAGAGAGAAACATAACATTACTTCGCGATTTTCATAGAAAAAAACATGTTTTATTGACTTTCATCCAATAGTTTTTGAATTACGTCTTACCTATTTTTTTTCGGAAAAGCACGGTGCTATTTACAGGCTCTTTAACGGGTAAACAACGCTTTTAGCACTATTTTTCGAAATTCATCATCTTGTAAAGTCTACAAGTATGTATAAAAGCTGTATTGTTTTTACTCTACAAGTTGAAAATATAAAATTACGTAAATTTCCTCAAAAAACACAAAAGAGCTAGTTCCCATTTTTTTTAAGTCGAGGTGGCATTCCTTCCAAATTTATATAAAATATCTTGAAAAATAAAACTGAAAATTCTTGGACTTTCGGAATGTTTAGTATGTGACCCGCTGTAAATCTGTTGTCATCCTTTCAGTAGAACTACCGAGCTCCGTTCTGATGAGCGCTACAAGACAGACGGAGAGAGAGAGTTCCGAAAGTTTGATCTAATGTACTATTGTTTTTCAGCGCAGCCATAGAAAGGTCCTTCAAGGGTTCCAACCCATGGCTGGGCAGCTTCCGAACAGGTCGATCCCAAAGAACACTGGACCCTTTCCTAACCAAGAGAGCTTTGATTGCTGCCCATGAACAAAGTATGGGCATGGATCCTACGATATCAAGACGTTGTAAGTTTTGAAATGTATTATGAAAATATTCTTGAGGAACTTAAAAGACACGTAGTTTCATATTTATTTATTGCTTATTTCATGGTGTGTTTGAACAATGCATTTTTTATTTTTCAGCTCGAGCAGCGAATATGTCTCCCGCGGGCATATGTGGTGGGACTCCAGCTAGGCTATGCAAAACTCGTTACAATACAACTGCTCCGATGTACGGGGTATCACTAACATCTGGACAGCCTGTTACAATAGTTCAAAAGTTCCCGGATCTTCTGCAGCAAGTGGTGTTTGAGGTAATTCTAAATACTGACCCGATTTCATCAACTGCTTAAACCGAGATCAAGCTGCTAAGTCTAGTTTAACCAGAGATCAACGATAAGCAGGATTACATCGTTGACTGACTTGCGTTGATCTACGTGCAATACTGACTCTCTTTATTACACTAACTGCATTAAACTAAGCCCGTAGCTCCCGCACCGAGTTTGATTTTGGGTCAACAATAAGTAGGAATTCCAGCCATGACTTTCACTGTTGATTCACTGTGGATGTCGGTTAACCCTGATTTTTGTAGCAGCTTTGAACTGAGATCAAGGTCCTAAACTGAGCTTAACCTCGGATCAAGGGTAACTAGGATTTCTGCTATGACTGACTTAGGCGATCTCCGTTCATCAAGTTGACTCACCGTGGATGTCGATTGAAGCCTGATTTCACTACCCGCTTTGAACTGAGATCAAGCTCCTGAACTGAGTTTAACCTCGGATCAAGGATAACTAGGATTTCTGCTATCACTGACTTGGGCGATCTCCGAACATCAACTTTGACCTACCACTGATGTTGATTAAAGACTGATTTCACTACTTGCTTTGAGCTCAGACACAAGCTCTTGAACCGAGTTTAACTTCAGATCAAGGATAACTAGGGTTTCAGCTAAGATTGACTTGATTCGATCTCCGTTTATCAACCTTGACTCACCGTGGATATCTGTTAAAACGCCTGATTTCACTATCTGCTTTGAACTGAGAGACCAGCTCCTGAACCGAGTTTAACACCTCGGATCAAGGATAAGTAGGATTTCTGTTATGACTGACTCAGAAGATCTCCGCTCATCAACGTTGACTCACCGTGGATGTCAATTGAAGCCTAATTTCACTACCTGCTTTGAACTGGGACATACGCTTTTGAACCGAGTTTCACCTTGGATCAAGGATAACTAGGATTTCTGCTATCACTGACTTGGGCGATCTCCGTTCATCAACGTTGACTCGCCGTAGATGTTGGTTAAAGCCTGATTTTACTATCTGCTTTGAACTGAGACACAAGCTCCTGAACCGAGTTTAATATCGGATCAAGGATGACTAGGATTTCAGCTATGATTGATTTGCATCGATCTACGTTCATAAACGTTGAGTCACTGTCCGTTAAAGCCTGATTTCACTACCGGCTTTGAACTGAGATCAAGCTCTTGAACTGAGTTTAACCTCGGATCAAGGATAACTAGGATTTCTGCTATGATTGACTTGAAGTCTCGGCGTTCAACGTTGACTCACAGTGGATGTCGGTGAAATCATTATTTCACTACCTGTTTTGAACTGCGACACAAGCTCGTGAACCGAGTTTAACCTCGGATCAAGGGTAACTAGGATTTCTGCTATGACAGCTCACTGAGGATATCGGTTAAAGCCTGATTTGACTACCTGTTCTGTGCTGACAGTCATGGATATTTGTCAAGCGGATAAAATGGAGATCTGTCAATAACCCTATTTCTTCTTTTCTCTGTGGGCACACTTGGTCCGTGACCAGGATCCCTGCTTTCTCTGTGCTTGGAGATCCTTGCATAATTTTGATAAAAGTAACTTTGTGCTCAATGTATTTTCTCATTTTAGGTTTGTGAAAGTTCTGAATGTGACGTGGTAAGAGGCGAATGTACGCAGACCTACGTGCCGTATCTCTTCCTGGTAATACCTCTGGGCCCAGTGACTTTGACAGGTCAAGACTACGTTCTAGTTGAAAGCGGTTGTGTTTGTAGGCCCAAATACGCGACGCAAAATACGCAAGAAGCCAACGTTATGTCATCTATACCTAGACTGTGAAGAAATGCCACCGCCAAGTTCATGGTTTTATCGTTTTGGGGTGCTGTGCATAACACAGAAGTGCGTATGGACACAATAGAATGATTCAACAATCATTTGATTAGCATTCAAGTTTTTCTGAGATAATGTGTGATGCAAGAATTCTCAGCTATGTATTAAGTATTTATCAACATTCGGTTTTAGCAGTGGTGAAAGGAAACTGTACAAATTGACAGGAATACGGACACTGACATTATTTTATGTAGACCATAAGTAGATTAGTTGAATAGATAAATGTGCTATGTTTGAATGTGCTCATATACTAATTATTTATTATGATTGTACAATATTTATTTAAACTCCCAGGACGTAAGTATTTATTGCAACTCAATTTTTAATAAAAACTACAAAAGATATTTTGCGTTTCATTGATACCTAGGCGATTTCCTTAACTTTTGGTTCTCAGAATAAGGACTAATTTTTCAATCGGTTTCATGCTGCAACAAAAATATACCCATATAAAAATTTTGTTCCGCCACTGGTTTTGAGAGTTATCGGAACATCGCATATCGAGTTGTTATTCTGCATTGTTCTGTGCTCTTTGCTTTGTTTTGAAAACTTTTGTGTCCCGTGTATATAGGTTAAGTATTTGAAATTTGAAATCAAAAATTGTTGAATCACAAACATAATTATAAATTTGGAAACGACTACTTTGATCAAACCATAAGTTTGAGGTACTGATTGCCATAAAAGAAAAATGGACACCAAAACAGTGTATGAAGCAGCTTATAAAGGTGATTTTGAATTTGTAAAAGCTAAACTTGAAGAAAACAACAGTTTGTTGACACAAGCAGATTCCGTAAGTATGAATATCTATAGGGAGTATCAGTACTTTTAGCACAGTTTTTCACTCATACTGCAACAAAAATATACCCATATAAAAATTTTGTTCCGCCACTGGTTTTGAGAGTTATCGGAACATCACATATCGAGTTGTTATTCTGCATTGTTCTGTGCTCTTTGCTTTGTTTTGAAAACTTTTGTGTCCCGTGTATATAGGTTAAGTATTTGAAATTTGAAATCAAAAATTGTTGAATCACAAACATAATTATAAATTTGGAAACGACTACTTTGATAAAGCCATAAGTTTGAGGTACTGATTGCCATTAAAGAAAAATGGACACCAAAACAGTGTATGAAGCAGCTTATAAAGGTGATTTTGAATTTGTAAAAGCTAAACTTGAAGAAAACAACAGTTTGCTGACACAAGCAGATTCTGTAAGTATGAATAGCTGTAGGAGGTATCAGTGCTTTTAGCACAGTTTTTCACTATATCCTTCTGTAACCAGTACGGATTTTTTTTTAAACATCAATAATATGCCCATCAAGGTAGTTCCATTGCACACCAATGGAGGCGTTATTCCCAGTCTTGGTAGCAGCACTTGAAGCCCTTAGCTGACATCGCGCCCATCACACTGTTTTGAATGTTTTGTAAAGTCCCTTCAATGAGGCCTTTTGGGACAATTTTCAATTTTGGTCACAAGGACTTAGATCTGGTGGGTAAGGGGGCTGGGGAAATGGCTTTTGAGAACAAAAACCCTATGATGGAGATAGAAGGGCTTGTTATGATGGAATATCCACTTATCTGCAATGACTAGTCTCACACTAATGACCCTCTTTTTCTCAGCCAACTCAGTTGACAGTTTGTTTTTGAGGAACAAATTCCTTGTGAACAACTCTCTTCCTGTCAAAAAACAAATCAGCATTGATGTGATGTGCTGTTTCTGGCTTCCTTTGGACAAGGAGACCTCTCTCGGTCTCAGAATCGCATTGACAAATCCAGAAATCACAAAACTACTTAACTTTTCAATAGCTCTGCCCAGTTGTGAGCTTTTTCCCCACCATTTTGGCACAGATCTTTTGCATTTACAAATTCCGTCAACCTGTTTCTGCTCAAATTTATGTGGCAAATCAACCTCGATGTTAAATGACCTATAATTTTCATTTCTTTCAGAACCAAAGGCTGCTCTTTCACTGGGCTGTTCTCAGTGGAAATGTAAAGCTAGTCACTTATTTAATTGACCTAGGGATCCCTATCAACCCTGTAGATGATACTGATACCACACCCCTGATTTTAGCAAGTTCTGCTGGCCGTACCGAAATTGTAAAAATGATTCTTGATAGGTGTGATGATGTAAATCACAAAACTAGCCAGGGACATTCAGCTCTGCAGTATGCTGCATCAAAAGGTTGGACAGAGGTAAATTTTAATCTAACTGCAAAATCTTGGTAAAAATCAACCTAACACAATTTTCTCGCTTTGTGTTCCACCTAAAAGTAGATTTCTAAATTAATTTTGTGATCTGCTCCTGCATCGTAAGATGTCACTAGCGCATTTTAGATATGCCTTTTTGAGTGGTGGAATAGTTTATGGTTGCCTATCTTTAGGTAGAATATGTTGAGTAAGTTATTTTTAGATTTGCAAATACCTGCTGGACAAAGGAGCTAACATCAACATCACTGACATGAGAGGCAGTACTCCTCTACATAGAGCAGCATCTAAAGGGAATATTCAAGTACTGAACTTATTCCTATCTGACTATGCAGATGATCTTAATATAAATGTCAAAGATATCTATGGGAATACCCCGTTGCATTTAGCCTGTGAAGAAGACAGACAAGAAGAAGCTACACTTTTGGTAGAACATGGAGCAGATATTGAAATTAAAAACAGAGATCAACAGACTCCGTTAGATTTGTGTACACCCAAGTTAGCTAGGTTGTTGAAAAGCAAGGCTAAGAGTGCGTGAAATAACGTTTTATTTGATTATTTATAGTGTTTGTATTTGATAAATAAAATACATTGAAAAAGTTTTTACAAACGTTTATTAAAACTGCAAATACATTTTTATAATATACAGCTGCCTTAGTTTTTGTTAATAATTGGCAGATCTTTAATGACTCGTGAAATTTTATCACAGCTAGTGATTCGGTACTCGGGTTGGTACTATCTGCGCCTTAACATTTATAAATATACCGGGTGGCGTAACAAAAAGGTCGCACCCACATTTGTGATTCTCCTGGTATATTTTGGGAAAAACGCTTGTACACGTCAATTTTGATGACTTTTCATCTATGGACGTACAATACAGGGTGATTCAAGAATAAGATATTGCGTTAGACTTTAGATTTTTAAATGGAAACCCCTATTTTTTTTTAATTTTTAGATGTTTGGTAACTTTTGTATAATCAAGTTCATACCTATCTTCAATCGTTGTCAAGCTATATATTTTATTGTGATAAGGGATTATATAGTAAAAATAATAATATAGTAACAAGACTATAAAATTAAAAACAAGTCTACTAGTATTGAAAAAAGCAAAAAACAACTTACGCACATTAAAGTTGAAGTAAACACTAATTTGCTATAAATAGATGGGTCAATGTGGTAATAAGTGCTCAAAGTGGTGTCCATTTACCGCCATCCAATAATAAAGATTCGCGTATTCTCAGCATTCATTCAATAGTTCCTTCAGACCTGGCAAGTAGGTGGCACCACCGTTCTGGCAAACGTCAACAGTGTTGTCATCGGTTAACGTGGAGTCCTCTCTTCTTCGGTGCTTAGTGTTCTGTGGCTACAAAGCGTAGAACGGAATTCGTATGGCCGGATCTTGGACACGCTAACCGACTGTTGTACGAACAAACGACTAGATGACGCTATGGTATCTCAGATGAGACTTTTTGAACGTGGGAATAGCATTAGGTTGACTATGTTATAGTAGAATAGATTGATAGACATGAATCAAATTCAAGCGGATAACCAAATGGTATTTACAATTTTGGGTTGGTATTTACCAATCCGTTCAAGCGAGTGTAGTTATCAGTTTGGTTATAAGATCCGTGACGTCACGAATCAGCTGTTATATGTCATAGTTATCACCGCAAAATTGTGGTATTTACCCAACTCAAGAGTAGTTTCATATTTCTGGTTATTATTTGAAATGTGACAAGTTAGAATTTTGCCGGGTATTGGATATTGTTATTGTACTTCAGCTTCATTTTTGAGAAAAATGATACAGGCTGACTTCAGTTTTACCATAAAGTGGAGCACCTTATCAGTTATACTCATTACGGTTGTTGAGGACACTTTAAATGTAGTTCCTATGCTTAACAAAGTATCCTGTGTAGCCATATACTACAAGAATATTAAAATATGGCCATATGCCATATAAACTCACTAGATGATATCCACCTGTATACGGTTTTGCTAATATCTTTTTTCATCATTTCTGCTGAATCAATAAATGTTTTCTTTGACATGCGGAAAAATTTTGAGAATTGAAAGTTATCATAGCTACAAAGCCATGGTTCCATCATTAAAAAAAAATCTGAAAAAAACATTTCTCCCATGAATATAATGAAAGGTTTCTTATTTAAACTTTCCATATACAGTTGTAGACGAAAAAGCACCGATTATTAAGTGATAATAAAAATAATGAGAGATTATATACGCCCTTTTCTAAAATAAACAACTTGCAACAAAACCGCGGTTAAAACCAACGCGTTCAAGCGATTCGTGTAACTGACGTCATCAATCCGTGTGTCATCTTGAACCATATTATAACCGCGGCACATAACACATTTGAACACAATTTTGGTTATTCGCTTGGATTTGATTATGGATAGTTTATTGTCCTATTAGATCATTTTACATGACATAAGACTTGTCAATGTGAAACTAAGTCATATATGCGTTTAAGCAAACATGCCGAGAAAATACGTATAAATATAAAATAAATAAGGGAATCAACAATTATAGAGAAGTATATTACATTTAAACAAGCTAAATCACATATAGGTACGGTGTAATAATCTAAATCTGTTCAATCTGTAACGGTGATACTAAACATAAGGAACTGAAAAAATTACACAGGATGTGCTGACAAATGCTTGTCAAAATTCTTTTTTATGGTCGTTTTGTACGTACACCTTGAACAATCATATACGGTATTGGTAACCAATACAATAAATTCACGATGTTTTTTTACAACATGTTCATCAAACCCTGCTGCACTCACTTCCTTATTACAGTGAATGCAAGTGGTGAGCTCACAACTCGGTTTTGTCTGAGGATGTACTGATATATGTCTGTCAAAATGGTGTTTTCTTGTGGTTTTATATCCACATTTAATACACTGATATGTCTTACTGGACACTGATGCGGCAAAACTGGGATGTAGTTTGACCACATGGTCGTCGAGCGTTCTCTTACTTTTAAATGACATTTGACAGTATTGACAAGTGCTGGGTTTGCCTACCGGTGCAACCCCAAAATGTCTAGACACATGTTCATCAAAATTAACCTTTCTAACACTCTTATATGCGCAATGTTCACACTCATATAACTTTGTAGTGACTGATTCAATACAATCTGGATGGATTCTTACTACATGTTGATCAAGTAACTTTTTATGGAGTGTTTTATAGGAACATTTAACACATTCGTATACTTTGTTAGTGATTGACGAGATTAAACCAGGATGTTTTCTAACAATATGTTCGTTCAAGTTTAGTTTACCATTGAAGGCTGTCTTACACAGACTGCAATTATGATTTTTACTGCGAGATTTCCGGTTAATTGAACTAGGATGACTTATTTTCATATGTAGATCTAGGAGCACTTTATCTTTCAGTTTTTTACGGCACTGTCTACAGCTGAAAATTTTGTGAGTATATTTGGATTGATTATGATTTTTCATGTGTTCTTCTAGAAAACATTTCTTATATGTTGCATAATCACAGTTATAACAACTAAATAATATCTTATCAGGTTTTTTTGGTATAAGATTGCACTTCTCTGAAGTTCTCAGTTCATTTCTGGAAAAGAAAAAATAATTTTTATGGAATAAAATACCCAATGATTCATTAAAAAAAATATTTTTAAAGAATATTTGATTGAAATCTCAGCTGGTACCGTGGTCAATGTCGGCCATTCTTGAGTTTCTTCTGCAATATAGCCATCTGAAAATTTTTAATTACATCATCGCGAACAAATATTATACGATAAACACTTGTCAAAATGCGTCAAGCTTGAATAGTTTTTAACTATATAACCAAAACTTGGACCATTGCAAAAAAAGAACAGCGATCCACGAGTCCTCATAGATGGCTCGACATTCAGCCAAGGTTCCGCGTGTTTCGCTCTGCATTTACCGAGGCGACGTTGCCAAACTGACATAAGTGTTTAAAAAACTCTACATTTACACCGAGCTGAATCGAGTCCAGTTCTTTTCACGGTTTTTGTTGGTTACGTCGAAAACTCATACGAAATAAACATACCTATCGCCTTTACCCCAGACTGTCTAAAGAACTGGCAACTATATCAAATATATCGACGATTGGTCAAAGAAGCAATTTGAGGTAAGCTAAATCATGTAGAGGCTTATTCGTTAAATAGTTATGTGATAGCTTAGAAGTTTTGAGAATGATTTTCAAAATGGAATGCCTTAGATACTTCCTTTGATAATATAACCTGACACAGCTGATTGTTTTTATTTTTTGTTTTGTTTTGAAAGAAATAGCTCTAACTTAATCACCCATCTACTTGCTACTTCATCAAAATTTATAAAAGGCATTGCCTAGGATTGCCAGATAGGAATAAGAAAAATCACCTGTCTAAATCTATTTCTGCAACTGCAGCCAAGCTTTCATCTTCATCACTTTTCAAAATCAATTCTTCAGTGATTTCTGTTAGTTTGAAACCTCCATTATTATCTGTATTTAGCTCCCCATCGGCAATATCAATTTTAAAACAATCATTTTCTTCTACATGAGAGTCATTGCTGGGCTCATAACATATTCTAGAACAGTAAAAATCTAGGGTTATGATGAAAAAACTGCCACTGAAGGCTGCAGCCATTCAAGATATTGTCAAAAAATAACCTATTCAAGCCTCACCTGATCGAAAACGGAACTGCGTACTGTGGAACCACCAACGACTTATGCTTACAACTACATAAATGTCGACCACAATCTCAAGTTTGCGATAAATGCATGTCTTTGCAGGCACAATGAACTTATACAGGTTTTTGCACGTCTTTACTGAATAAATCACATTACAAATAAAATTAATAACAGAGATGATTGCCAACAGACACTGCATTTATTTTGGCAAAATGGCTGTGACGATGAACAATGTATGTGAACGTCAAGATTTAACAAGCGATTGGGCGTCTTCTTCCTAAAAAGGGATTGAAGATCCTAGCGCCATATATGGGATAGTAGAGGAACCAACGTAGATTTCTTAATTCTTTTTTATATTCTGCTAATTATAATTATATTATTTATGGCACAAGAGATTTTTTATAATCGGAAGAATCGAAATAGTAATAAAAAAAAAACAATACTAATTTGTTCAAATTTAAGAGAATAAACAAACAATCTATGTATAACGCTATTTAAGGTGCTGTCATAAAACTCTCTTGAATTGACGACAGAACACGTAAAGATATCCCAAGTACTGCATATTCTGATGAAGTTAATGTACATGATTCTTACAGGAGGTAATGTTTGGAGCTGGGAAAACAGATCTGAAGAAACAACAATACCATGTAAAAGTATATATAAGATGTCTGAGTTGTGTTTTCTTTTCTCACTCAAGGAGTTAACTTGGAATCTTTCCAACAGTACTTGGTACTCCCACCGATGCTGAGAATAAACTGAATCTATCTTGAAAACCAAATACTTGAGAAATTTCTTTGGACCTGGTCGATTTGATTTATATAACAGTTACAATAAGGACTTGAAATCAATGAAGCATATTCTAGTTGAGAACGTACACTTACAATGTATGTTTTTATATTAATAACTATACAGTTCTTAAATCAACAATCAAACCTAGATCTATTAGCATTATTTGAGAGATGTGATAGTGAAAATTCATCCTACTGTCAAATGTCACGCCTAAATCACAAAGCGCTCCGTACCGACTGATTACGTTTCGTCCAATGTTATGTCCTCAATGTTTCACAATGACTATTACTACATACATCGTTAACAAAGAGCCAAAAAAGCAATGGTCCCAAATTCGAACCCTGTGGTACCCCTGAAGATGCTGTGTAGAGAAAAGATTCAAAAACATTGTATGATGTGAATAGTATCTTCAAGATCCCTTTTTGGACAGAGGGCTGCAGGAAACAGATTTTCAGGTAGAATATCTTAATCAATGGTTAAAGTTACCTGTTTGTTGAGCTTGTATCATGATCATCCTCCTGCTTTATGTCCAGGTTAATGTGACTAACTTCTCGAGCTCCATTTTCCAAAGCTGTCACAATACATTCAAGCTTCAACTCAGGTTCGTTAAAAAAAGATTCACTCCAACATCCATAATTATGTTCAATTTTTATTCTGCAAGATAGTGATGGTTAAGCTTGACAGACCAGTTGAAACTGAAAGTTTTAAATTTTGGGGATACTGCCTTATTCAAATTCTATAAGGAACTGTTACCATTCATCATAATAGGTTCCATAGATTCCAAGCTGCATTGTGAATGGCTACTGGTATTTCAAGATGGTTAGTATGAAGCCGATATTAGACAAGCTCATAGACCTTGAGCACAATGATTTAGATTGAGTTTTTCAGTTGATGTATAAGCCTAAACAATTTACCTATCTAAAAGTGTTCCACTTGTGTTTTTATTTGTTTCATTTTTTATTACTCCTGCAAGTCTTGGAAAATCATGGTGAACCTGGGTCTCAAGATAAATATTCAAATCACATTGAGTCCAGTCAACATACCCATGCTCATTTTTTATTCTAAAACATTGGATAAAGAATTAACAAACCATTGATCCATAATCATTGATTCACATATTCTCCAAGAACATACCCAACCCTTTCACTATTATTTTTTTTTTGTTGACCTTGCAATTAGATATTGACCTCATTGAGTGTATTGGCAAGACCTTGAATCACTATATATGTATGTGAAAAAAAATTAACTATTGCACCTGGAGGTCATATCTTATATTTTATTTTTGTTATTAAACTGTATATGTAATTTGACAATTTACATCACAGCCATATGAGTGGAGACATTCTTAAGCATGATATCAACCTTCCAAGGAAAGCAAGCAACCCCTTAAGCTTCCTCATAATTATACCTAAGACTTTGTATTCTCAGAATTTCATGATAGAAAAGGAAATACCATAAATTATATGTTTCACTAAATATGACCTACATGATTCAGTGCCAATGCTGTATAGTCATGAGCATAAGTGGTCGGTAGTGCCATTGTACATAATGCTTATTTTCTTGCTTAGCTTTCAACTGTATTGGGTATCTTCTGGGGGAGTATGTTAATAAATACCATGATTTAAAGAAATAAAGTATGTTACCTATCTAAAAGTGTCGTGGCGATCAAGTAATTATTTTTTTCACCATCTTTAATTTCAAAATTTCTGATATCATCTTCAAGCTCGTTCTCTGTCTTTATTTGAAGCATATCTAGATTGTCTGGATAACCTTCATTCCAACCATTCCCTTCATCTTTTATTCTTGAATATAATTATTAAAGAACAGCCTCAAAATTGGGAGAAACAGAAACTATTTCTTCTTTTTAAACATTTGGATTGAATACTGAAGTTTTGTGTCTGCTCTGTTAATTCTGTCTTTAATGTTGAGTCTTGGGCTTTGAGAACTTCATAAGCTGATAAACAGCATTATTTCATTATTTGCTTTCCAATTTTACTAGGAGTAAAGATAACATGGCCACGCAAGACAACTATTGAAACATACTCTACTAGACTCTAGATCTAGCAGACTATCCGTAGCGAAATTTTTCTCGAAATCGTTGCAGACCGCTTGAGAAATGCAAATGAAAATTGGAAAACTGCCGCTTTGACGTATTAAATGACTCCCTCGTTACCCCGGGATAGACATACGATCTTGTCACCTAGATTGCAGCGTTGCCAGCTCATTTGACAATTTTGCTAGAATGTTACATAAAAAAGAAGCTTTAATGTCTCTGAACACTTTTATAAATGCAAAGTTTTATAGAATAAAATACTTTTTGAATACGAGGCTTCTTGCAACAATTGGAAAAAACAATATTTTATTACATGAATATATTTATTAACTATTTGATCTAAAATTACATGATCATTAATAGAAGTACGATTTTCATTTTATCTGCTCTTTATCAGGGGACTATGGTTTTGACTATCGGTAAAAAATGTAAACGAATACAATATCGTCGTCTACTATACAACGTTATTAAAATTCTCATTTATTTAAAAAAACATAGGATGCCAACCGTAACACGCAAGTGATGAGTATGCAAGGCTTACCTACTTTGCTGCACAGGATATCGTGTTTCCCTCAGAAAAGTTGGAAGTAGACCTAATTTCTACTTTGGAGACACTTGACACCCACAGCACTAAAGCACCACTGAGACACAATCGAGAACCCTATAGTTAACACCACTATTAAAAAAAGTAGCTAAACGGAATAAAGCTCTCCACCGAGCTGTGAACGCGTAGACATCCAGCTACAGCGACGGTTGCCGAGAGACTGATGCGTGCGAGTGCTGTACCTCGCTGCGGCGATACTGTACGGCCGGGTAGTTCAGCCACGCCCCTTTCCAGCTCCCATTCCGCGCGTCCGCTCCCGTCAACGTAAACATCGAGTCGCTTCGTCATACTGTCAGATAAGAAAACGCAGACGCGCGGAGTGGGAGCTGGAAACGAGCGTGGCTGTACTACCCGGCCGTACTGTATCGCCGCAGCTAGGTACAGCACCCACACGCTTCAGTCTCTCGGCAACCGCGCAGCGGAATGTCCAGGCGTTCACAGCTTTATTCAAGTAAGCTTTTTTTTAATAGTGGTGTTCACTATAGGGTTCTCGATTGTCTCTCAGTGGTGTTTTAGTGTTGTGACGTGGGTGTCAAGTGTCTCCAAAGTGGAAATTAGGTCTACTTCCAACTCTTTTGAGGGAAACAGGATACATGTGCAAACTAGGTGAGCCTTGCATACTAATCTACTTGTGTTAGGGTTGACATCCTATGTTTTTTAAATAAATTGCGTACATTGCATACACTGAGAGATTAACTGAGGTATTTGGGAAAAATTGAAATTTGGCCAAATCGTTTTTATTTTTGTCTGAATTTATTTTAAGTAATGTCAAAATACTAATGGCACTACATGATGGTGTTGTTAAATATGCACAACATTTAAAAAAGTACGACCCTCTATCTAATAGCACCTGTTTCTACGACTTCAACGATGTATCACGTTACATTTGTTTTTTTTTAAGTTATAAGCAATTGTGTGATTACTGAATTTAACCTAATATGATCCTTATCTTGGCCACCTTGTAATACATTATTATAAAAAGAAATTCACAGAAACGTGCACTAATCTAACGTTCTTGTACGTATTCTTATGTACTTACATTTATTTCTGAAAAATCTCAAAACTATTAACAAAGCCTCTAACAAAATACTATTTTTAGTCCAAGGAATTGGTCTATAATAGACAGTATCGTGCATTGACACTAAGCCTTTGGCACTATGTTTACTAAATATGGTGCAAAAAAATCAAGAGTTGATTCTCTGGCATTTTCAAACCTGGAATCTCATCCCCGTGTTTAGGAAACTACAATGTCTTACCTTGGTTGTTGGAGGATACGTGGCCACCAAATGTCCAACAAGAGTATAGGGATGTGATGCGTCTGTCTGTATTTCCACATGATCTCCTGATCAGTCGCCGTGCGCTGTGCGGGTTCGAGTCCCGTCCCAGGAGAAATTTTTCTCTTGGCTATGGATGTTGTGATTGTCCGTAGGTGGTAGACGGTCTCTGACTGTCGAACGTGAAGGTACCACCCGGCGGATCTCGTAGGCGGAGCCAGAATGTGTGCATGTTGCATGCACACGTGTTCCCTCGCCAGAGTCCGTGTGGCGTCCCCCTTTCCCCTGTATCCCCCTATAGCCCCACGGTGCCCAAAGGGTGTTTAGGCCTTAGGCCTTCGTGGTAGTTGGAGTAAAAAAAAAGTTATCAAGCTGTCCATTTTCTTTAATATCTCTGCGTATAAGACGGATACTAATAAATAGTAGAGTAAAATGGAAATCGTATTTCTCCTATTAATGATCATGTAATTTTAGGTCAAATAGTTAATAAATGTATTTACGAGTATACAATAAAACGTTTTTCCCAATTGTTGGAAGAAAGGTATTTTATCCTATAAAACTGGGCATTTAAAAAATGTTCAGAGACATTAACATTGCTACACCTCAAATTTTATATATCTCCATTGGTATTCCTCAATATTTTATTCAAAACTTCTTTTTTTTTATAACATTCTATCAAAATAGCTGATGTAGCAGAATGGTCCGATGAGCTGGCAACGCCGCAATCCAGGTGGCAAGAATGACAAGGTTATCTGTCAAGACGGAATCCGGCACTCTAATCAAATTCAAGCGGATAACCAAATGGAAATGGTATTTACCATTTTGGGTTGGTATTTACCAATCCGTTCAAGCGAGTGTCGTTATCAGTTTGGTTATAAGATCCGTGACGTCACAAATCAGCTGTTATATGTCATAGTTATCACCGAAAAATTGTGGTATTTACCCAACTCAAGAGTAGTTTTATATTTCTGGTTATTATTTGAAATGTGACAAGTTAGAATTTTGCCGGGTATTGCATATTGTTATTGAACTTCAGCTTCATTTTTGAGAAAAATGATACAGGCTGACTTCAGTTTTACCATAAAGTGGAGCACCTTATTAGTTATACTCATTACGGTTGTTGGGGGCACTTTAAATGTAGTTCCTATGCTTAACAAAGTATCCTGTGTAGCCATATACCACAAGAATATTAAAATATGGCCATATAAACTCACTAGATGATATCCACCTGTATACGGTTTTGCCAATTTCTTTTTTCATCATTTCAGCTGAATCAATAAATGTTTTCTTTGACATGCGGAAAAATTTAGAGAATTGAACGTTATCATAGCCACAAAGCCATGGTTCCATCATTAAAAAAAATATCTGAAAAAAACGTTTCTCCCATGAATATTATGAAAGGTTTCTTATTTAAACTTTCCATATACAGTTGTAGACGAAAAAGCACCGATTATTAAGCGATAATAAAAATAATCAGAGATTATATACGAGCTTTTCTAAAATAAACAACTTGCAACAAAACCGCGGTTAAAACCAACGCGTTCAAGCGATTCGTGTAACTGACGTCATCAACCCGTGTGTCATCTTGAACCATATTATAACCGCGACACATAACACAGAAATTTTGGTTATTTGCTTGGATTTGATTTCTTTTAGCGAAAAATATTGATTGTCCATAGAATTTTAGATGCAGATAGGATATAGAAAGTATACAAAAACACATTATTTGTCATATAATTTATTTAGCAAGAATCCTCACAGTCTTGCAAACGTGTTGAATTGTAAACGTTTCATAAATATTACAACAAAAACAATATACAACAAAACCATGGCAAGTTTAACAGTGATTGATGTACTTTGAAATTTTTATCAACAATCACATGAATTGTCCTCACATGATTATCTATAAATTTCTTATCAAATAAGCTGACTATTTCATTACGTGAAAACATGTCTTGAATCAGTTTCCCTTAGGTGTAAATACTGTTAGGCTGCGCATATACTTTTGAAAATTTTCTTTTCAATCGTCTTAGGGCCGTATCGTCAGTCGTTTCTACTTTAGGACGCTTTTGTGACCTTGATTTCCATAATCTTTTCGCTCCTTCAGAAAGGCTAGTGTATTTCTAGATTTCTGTTCCGTGTCAGCGTCAGGGCTCTCCTATTGTGAAGCTTCATATAAATAAAAAGCATGAACAATTTGATGCAAATAGATATATTTGTAACATAACCTCAAAGTAGAGCGCTGACACGGAAGAGTAGAAAACTATGAAAATCACGGAGGCCATAAAGGCGTCCTAAAATTGTTGGAACGACTGACAATACGGCCATAAAACAATTTTTTAGGACAGTAGACCTGCTAAGTGACATTGTCTAGGCGAGGTTCGCCTGGATTTGAGGTTAGGAAAAATTTGAATAACAAACTAAAATTTCTCTTTTCATTTTAAAATGAATCGTGTAATCTCCTGCCTAGGTTTGAAAAGCTAATCAGCTAGGAGCCAACCTACAGGTTTTACGAATAACTTAATTTTTTGCATCATTTATCTTTATGAAAGCAGAAGTTATTCGTAAAACTTGTAAGTTGTTACCCAGCTAATTAGCTTTTGGACCATACGCGTGAGATTACAGGATTCGGTTAAGTATCATAAGAGAAATTTCCTAACCTCAATGCCCCAGGGAACCCCGTCTTAAAAGCACAATGTTTTTTGTAAAATTAAATAAGATTTGAGATTCAAAAATATTGGATAACATCCAAATCATTCTCATTGTCAAAGCCTAACAGTATCTGTATTTTGACAAATTTCTACCGTTATAACAAGAAAAAAATACACGAATGCAAAAATACAACACAGAAATGAGGAATATCATTTATTAACATAACTCATTCGCTTTTTCTCGTTTTTTTATTGCACTAATGCTTTGTCTCAAATATATGATTGTTATGAGTTACATCTCAAATAAACATAAATAATGTAAACATAACGTTGATGTAACATAAAATAAAACATAGATTCGGATGTGATATACACGTGAAATCTTTTAAATATTCATCACCAAACATTTTATTGTATCAAAAAAGAAATGCTTTAAAAAAATCAGTTATTTTGACAGAGTATTTGAAAAAATCACTTGAACACAAAAAAGTGTATCCATTAAAAATAGTGATCATACTAATAAAGACCTAAAGATAACGCAATATCCCTTAAAGCAGACATTAGTCTTAGTAAGGAATATATACAAATTTCAAATAGAAATTATGAAAGTTGCTGATCTTCAATGTAATTCATTTTCTCACTCAGATGTTGCAATTATTAGCTTACCTATTAGAAATTTATTACTGTTAATACGTTTTCTTAAAAATGCTTCAAGAAAACTACAAAATCTCCATAATGTTCCTAAAAACAACGTACATTTATAGCTCCGGGATTCGTGAAACTTTTTCAATCTAACTTATACAAGTTTGAAAATTTAGATGATTTGGCCAATATGCAATGCAATGCAAGGTTCTGTTATTCTTAAACTGTGTCGAATTTCACGTTTTTGGTCAAACGTCTAAGTTAGTCGAAAAGTCCTTGAGACCCGAAACTATAATATTCAACCTGTATCAATATCAAACTGTTTTTATGATCAAACTATGAAACACTATTGAACTTATCAGAATGTGATGACATTTTAGCTGCAATAATTTCCTATATTATCTATTTGTATTGTTTCCTATACTAGTAATTTTATACCGCTTGAGCGGTAGTATCATCATTTTTCATCATATATAACGTTAGGTCAGTCCATGTAAATATGTTCACAAACTCACCTGAATTACACGAGTCGTTTTTTTTGTCGCGTTCCGTTATAAAGAAATATTAATATTAACTAGGACTAGATTCTCTTTCCCCCAAATATTTTTTATCGGGGATCATCTGTCCAAACGAAAATATTCTCATACTTACAATCGAGCATATGACAGGAATTCTAACTGAATTTTGACCATCAAAATCAATTTCGATGTCGCCTGACCGCCAGTCAGAAAATTTCGATTCAAGAACCAGTCACACTCGCGCGTCAAAATTATAATGGGGATAATATACACTGTGTCGCATTTTAACCTTCTACCTAAATATTTTTAAAACTCCGCGTTCTAGAAAAAAATGTTATGCTTTCAAGGCCATTTCAAGACATTAATTTACTCTAGCAAGACCGTTCGACACCACAGTTGTGAAGTTTTTGGGGATACTCAATTGTTGCATTGACCATCAAGGTGGAGTCAACATTTTCAGAGTTTCTATTTCTAATCTGAACTAGGTAAAGGCAGAAAATTTACGTCTGAATGTGACCATGACCTCAAATAACATTTCAGCTTTACACGACCTTGTATTTGAGTTCAAGGTCATATTCGGACGTAAAACTTGCTTTTGCAAATTGTTTTTTATATCTTGATTTGACCTCGAAATGGACCGTCAAGTACATGGCAAAGTCAATGTCCAAACGTAAAATTTGCTCTTATTTTGAATTCCGATGTGATTAACGGGGGGTTCCATTCGAAAATATTCGCTTGACCTTGAAGGATTTAGTCAAGGTCACCATCATTATGCCCCATCGAAACCCTACAAATTTTGTTTGTAACTTTTTTCTAGAATGAGCGGTTTTCGAAATATTTAGGTATGGGGATTAAAATGGGACACCGTGTATTTAAGGCAAGGTAATATCGAATTTAATTTTCAGGGTCAAATTGAGTCAGAATCAGGCCACAGATCACGTAACAGTTTATCTAAACTCATAAACACATGGTTCAAATACAGTTTGCATCCATGTTCAGTAATGTCGAAAAATCTACCTTTGAATAGTCAACCTAACATTTCCCCGTCCCGAAATTTTTCGCCTCTTCAATAATTATAAATGTACTTTGAAAATGTTAGTGTATCATAGAGGCGTTGTAACCAAGTATATTAGCGCATACATGGTACTCCAAAAGTACGGACACACCCAAATATCTCTGAAACTAAGGGTGCTGTAAAAAAATGACTATCGTTCGTCTCAGTCTAATCCACGTTTGAACTTGAAACAACCTCTAGATGTGATTTTACCTCGGATATGCAATTTTTGTCGATATTCAGCGTTGGTATAAAAATTGAGTTTTCCTGTGAAAAAATCAATTTGACCTTGAATTGGCCTTCAAGAACATCACCAACGTCAAACTCAAGGTCACCGTCAGATATGTCGTTGAGTATCCCGCAATTTTCGCATTGAATGTTCGTCTTTTTTCAGCTATCTGCTGATTCACAACATTCTATGAAAGAGCAACGATTGACCTTGAAATAACCTCTAGATGTAATTTTAGTCTCTATGATATTTATACCGTTGAAAAAGAAATTTGTTGGCATTCTATGTCTGCAATAAAAAATGGGGGTTCCTATCTGAAAAATAAACTTTCCCTTGAAATGACCTCAATGTCAAATCCAAGGTCACCACGTGCGCCACGAGATTTCATAAAACTTTCGCATCCAAAGCAACCTTGGTTTGGGAGTGCCTGTACTTTTGAGACACCCTGTATATTTGACTGCAGTGCCATCTATTAGACACTAACCTTTTCAAAGTAGGTTCCTAATTAGTGCAGAAATGAGAAACAGAGCCGGGAAAACTTCTCATAGATGAATGTGCGGCATTTTTTGGGAAATGTAGTATTAGTTTGGTTATCTTTATGTAGAATACGTTAATCAACAGTATGAACCACATTTAAACCTTGGATTTATAAGAATATATAAAGTGTTATCAGATATAAGCATAACATGTTTATAATGACTAAATGTGTTACTGCAATGCTGTTTTTGGGACACTTGGCATTTTTTTGACCGTAAGTATGAAAATACTTCATGCTGAAACTATTCATATGTTTGATTAAAACAGCGACTTCCATTTCATACAGTAAATGTATCAATTTTTAATTGTCGTGGAAGTCGTTTTAATCATTAGTCACCTAACAGTAAATTATGACATACACATTTTCCTGAACCCTTTTAAGTAAATGTGTGCATTAGTCTTGTATCTACTTGTACTTTTTAAAAAATAAATTAGATTGTGGACTAGCACGTTATAGCAAGTTTCTCAGTTTGATTATTTTGAAATTTTCTAGGGCATATTATCTTAGATAATAAACTATTGTCGAGTTTATAATAACATGATTATGTGCTCTGTTATATTCAAGAAAAGATGTATGTCATACCAACAAACGTACAAAATGTGGAAAATGGTACTCTCGTGTTATCAAGACAGGTTACAAAAAATGCATATACACGTATTCAGATCTATGGAAGAAACTAGAAAAAACACTAGAACTTGTAGTGACCAAGAAAAAGTTAAAAAACATCGAGTTTGAACTGAAATATAAGGTTCAGACATATAGAACATGTTTTAAGTTTCCCAATACGGCAAACATATAATACTGAATATCAAAATTAGAAGTGCGGATAGTAAAAGCGACGTGTATGGAATGCCAGATATTTTTTTGGGTCGAAGCATATACATATTTTAAAGCACATGTCACAAGAGCATTGGTTAGTTGTTCTTTTGCTCTATGTTTTCAAACGAAGTATTTCTTCGAGAACTGTCAAAGACACTCTTAGAAAAATCCAAACAATCACCTTTGAATTTTTGCTACGTATTTAGACAGGAATACAGCCGATCATTACTCGTGACCACGGAGAGTACCACTTTCCATCCGATCGCTACACACAATACATCGCTCTTTCTCTCGCTATCTCTCTCTTACATGCCACGCCCACTCCTCACATCCTCGCCTACCAGAAGGCGTACCCGCCGGCCTCCGCCCCGCCTGCCAGGAAGGTGTTTTTCTTCTGTCCTAGCGCCACCTGGTGGCCGGCCATGGCGGCTAGCTGAGCGGCTGTGGGCGGCACGCCGGGCGGGGCGCCGGGTGCAGGTAGTACCTGCTGCCCGAGACCGTCAAATCGGGCGCCGGCCTCGTAGCTATTCTGGAAGATCAAGAAATGGTAAAGAGTGTTCCAAAATTCCGGTGAAAATTGAACTGAACGGGAACTACTGCATTTGGTTTGGCGATTCGCTCATAGATGGCGCGGCATATGTCGAGGAAGCGGCCGTGCAGTGTTGCCAAACTGACAAAATGTGTAGAAAATCGCCGACAAATCACAATTTTTGTTTCTGAATTTATCAAACTTACCGGTATCATGATTGTGGGCCTGAGTTGTGCAGGTTGCATTGCGTACGAATAGGCACCTAAAGATGGATAATACTGCATTGGGGCGTACGTCGGATATCCTAGGTATGTCGGATAACCAGTTGTGTACATCGCACCTGGCGGATACATCTGCCAAACAGAAGGGTTGATAAGAATATTGAAGAGAAAACAAAGAACCCCGCAGTTTTCTCATGGAAAATGACTTTCCACTAAATTTGTTGAAATTTTGCATAGAGGTAGTTTTCAACATGTTGATCAAAAGTCCCAAACACATATCGATCTCCTATGGAGCCACACGCAAGGGTTATTGCCAGATATGAAAAAACAACAAGTTTGAAAGTAATATTATCAGAGAAGCAGTAGAACATACTGTTACGAACTCTCCCAGCCAATGGTGATCATGTAGTCAAGGAAAGGTAGACTTTTTAAAGTGGTACATTCTTCTTTTTTACCAGAAAATGGTGAAACCAAACAATCTAATTTCAAGCAGTGTTTGAGCATGTCGGAAACGCAACATTTGAAGGTCAGGGGCAGGAAACCTCTTCTCGATCTTCATAGATCCCAGAGGGCGTATTGATAAATGTGATAATATTGATAGAGAAGAAGTGAAACGTACTGTCGTTAAGATTTATTCCGGACTGGTCAATGTAGTACATGAATTTGATCTTGATGCCTATTCATAGTGCATAGACATGTGAAGAAGAGCGATTTCTGGGCCTAAAAATTCTGTCCAAGCAGTCAAAGCAAGACCTATTGCTGTTCAGTCAGTCAAAATAAGTCACATCACAGCCATATAAGATGTCCTTCTTTTCTGATAATATTACTTTAAAACCAAAGGACCTCTGAGTTCCAAAATTTCTAATAATATATCCAAAAGCCATTTTATAAAACTGTGGGGTTCTTTCATGCTAGTTCTCAATGTGAATGCCTATTTTGTGCTGAAAGCTGTAAAACATAATCTCCAATTTGTCGCGGCATCTGTCACATAATGGAAGCAAGCCTTAAAAAAAATCTGTGACTTAGCGCCTCGAATTCCCAAAGTCGCGCCGAAATCCACAAGGTCGCGCTGGAATCTACAAGGTCGCGCCAGACTCCACAAGGTCGCGCTGTAATTGCCAAGGTGGCGCTGCACTTCCTAAGGTCGCGCGGAAATCCACAAGGTCGCGCGGAAATCCACAAGGTTGCGCTGCAATTGCCAAGGTCGCGCTGCAATTGCCGAGGGCGCGCTGCAATTGCCGAGGGCGCGCTGCAATTGCCGGGGTCGCGCTGCAATTGCCGAGTTCGCGCTGCAATTGCCGAGGTCGCGCTGCAATTGCGGAGGTCGCGCTACAATTGCCGAGGTCGTGCTGCAATTGCCGAGGTCGCGCTGCAATTGCCGAGTTCGCGCTGCAATTGCCGAGGTCGCGCTGCAATTGCCTTGGTAGCGCTGCAATTGCCAAGGTAGCGCTACAATTGTCAAGGTAGCGCTTCAATTGTCAAGGTAGCGCTACAATTGTGAAGGTCGCGCTGAATTTCATAAGGTCGCGCTGTATTCCACAAGGTCGCGCTGCAATTGCCAAGGTCGCACTGCTACTACCATGGTCGCGCTGCATTTGCCAAGGTCGCGATGCAATTGCCAAGCTCGCGCTACAATCGTTCAGGTCGCGCTGCAACTGTCAAGGTCGTGCTACAATTTTCAAGATCGCCCCGAGTACGGGGCCTTAAGAGAAATCTGAAAACTTACGTGTTGTCCTACGATAGCCGCCGGATGTGTTAAAGCTTGATCGTATGTGGGAGGCGGTCCCTGAGGATATATCTGTGTTTGACCTGGAATCACGTACGGATTCCCTCCTGGAATTCCTGGCATCACTGAAAAAAAAGAGAAATTCTTATTTATGTATTGACAGCGCAAGTGCAAATTAATAAAAAGCGGCAGAAGTATTGCGCTTGAAATAGGTATTAGATTTTTTCTACACATCCAGCAAAATTCCTTCCGCTACCATATATCATAGTTTCAAATTTGGTAAGAATCCATGTATAAACATCATAACATGCGTGTAAAACGTACTTTTTAGAGAGGTTGTAGAAAAACTTTTCCCTGAGCTGAAAAGTCGCGACTATTTTCTGCATTCTTATAATCAGAAGTTATATATTTCGCCCGTAGATAGATAATGATAATGCAAAAAAAAATCTAGGTAAATAACGAATGTGAGCATTCATGTATGTGATTTTTATTGGGAACAGAACTGTCATTTCTACTGAAGCCTTTACCAAGTTTTATTTATTTATACAAACAAAAAATTAACAAAATGCTTCTTGAAAGTGCGTATTATCCCATAAATGGATTTCTCTGACAATTTTTAGATGTGTTATGTATATCGTTTTATTATGTTATGTCTACATATCTCTTATTCGTCTATAAGGAAGTGTTCGTTATTATTCATTGTTGGCTACTTTAATTTCAGTAATGTTTGTATTTATACAGGGTGACATCGAAGTTGAGTCATTTATTTTAACAGTGAGTAGATCTGATCAAAAGAAATGTTTTTTTCCTTTACCATTTTTCTGGTAAAATTAAAGTAACAAAGTTATAGCCCTTTGGAAGTTTGAGTACCGCCCTGTCTCAATCATAATATTATGTGCTCGTGTTTGGCAACAACGGATATAATCCGCCTTATCGGTTCATCGCATCGGAAACAAAAAAGCGAAAGAATTTGGAACGATGTTTTTACAATTATTTTATTCCGTTGTATACAGTCAGTGTCAGTCGGTAACGCTTGAGTGAATAGTGGTGTCTGTTGCGTGGCTCAAACGAAATCAAAAATGGCACATGTTTATGCGGATCGGTTTCCCAATCGAGTGCAACCAACCCCTCGTGCCTTTGTTAATGTAGTACAACGGGCTCGTGAATCAGGTGACTTAAGACCTCACAGGCGACGGCATGCCGGTGCTCCAAGACCTCACGATCAAATGCAGGTCCGCACTGAAATACTTGTCGGGAGGAAACTTTATAAAACAAGGTAAATTTTTTTTTATTTTTTTTTTATTTTTACACACATATTTTGGTGTATCTTCCTTCTACAATCATTATCTGAAAATTAATGACTCAACTTTAAAGTCACCCTGTATAATGTTTATTTTGTCATATAATCAGAATGATCACTATGTGATTGCATATAACTTTTTTGTTAGTTTTTGCATTTGACAAATTCGATGTCATCAAAAGATGATAACTTGAATATTATTATGTAGACACTCGGCTGTATTTTGACAGGATATAAAAGTGCTCGATAGGTACTGGCATACTTTTCCACCACAGTATGTAATGTACGAATATTTTCTTGACTTACCACCATAAGGTTGACTCGTCGGCATAGGCGGGTTAGCCTGTGGCGGAGGTTGTGGGGTAAACGAGGGTGCACTGACTGGCGGCGGTCCAGTTCCACCGATTGCTGCAATTCCAAAAAGGAAACAGAATTTTTATTTACAATTTGTACAGGCCCGAAACACCAGGCAAACCAAACTCATCCGCAGTTAAGATCAGGAAGTATGTATACTATATAAAAATATTCTAAACGACAAAAATACAAAGAGATAATATGTGTGTGGCCAAAATATATTCCCAAAACAGTAATTTTTGACACGATTCGGTTGGAAAAAGTTTTCACAGGAATACCTGCAATCGAACAAATATTTCGACATAAGATATTTCAGCCATTCTTAGGGCTAAAGAAGCATCGCTCATAGCGCGGCAAACAAGTTTTAAACAAGTTTTACCGCAATTAGGATTTTTTAGGATGAACACTGTAATGTTGGTTGCCTAGTTACGACATTTGATTTACTCGTACTTCTCATAAATTGCGCGAGGGTTGCGATGCTTCTTTATCTTAAAAAACGAAGCGTTTATCATTTTGCGGACTAGCAGGGTAAGTATAGTGATATGGCCGAAATATCTTGCGTTCGAAAACGAACCTTTGTCCGATTTTACTAATTCCTATGGAAACTCGATTAGATAACATCTTGTCAGCACTGTATCAACAAATGGCACTGAACTATTCGTGAACTGTGATATATGATGCTGTGAAAATAAAAATTGATGTCAAAATAGTTTGATTTGTTGATTGATATATTGTACATCTGTTATATGCATATATAAAATCGTAAACTATATTCTAGATTTAATTTTTATTGTAAACATGCATACACAAAGATTTATCTTGCATAAAAGTGAGATAAACAATATCAATTATCAGAAACAATAAAGTGAAAATAATTATAACAAAGATTCTAAATTGATTTTTTTATTCTTGCCAAATCTGGCAATGACAAAAACTGTACATTTTATGATTTTCAAAAAATCCTTTTCGGAATAAAAAAAAGTATGACTAATACTTTTTTCAATGAGTTTATATATATTTGAACATTTTTGGACGCCATTTAAAATAAAGATTATGCAAAACAAATCCTCACCTTCAAGACATGCAAAATTAAATTAAAATAGAAAATAAATCAAGAAATCAAAATAGCCGATGAATGATTATTATTTGTGAAATACTTTCGTATTGTAAATTAAAAATAAGGCATGCAAAAATAGAGAAAATTTCCAGATTAGATGAAATGGTAAAACTTTACTCTTGCCCTAGCTTTGATTTAAAAAATCTACAACCAAAACAACATATGAAGCAGTTAATGTGAAAATAGGTAAAATCAAGATAAAACTGAAATTAAAAAATTTATAGCAGATATTAGTTGTCATCGATAAGCAATACATTTTATTATAAGACTTTCAATCAAAATAATTTCAAATTTTAAACCCTCCTACTCGCAATATCTGCTATGAAAACCTATATATCTACATGCTGTATTCTAAATCTATTTTAGCATGCATAAAAGGAAGTGATTCAGAATCAACTATAAATTAAAAACGTTCTCCATTAAAAGTCCAGCAGTAAAAAATTAGCACCCATAATTTACCGTGACATTTCCATCTAAAACAGTTAGTTTGTTATCCAAAAGTGTAAAAGAATGAACATGTAATCTATATCAACTTATTTTATGAGAATACGATAATTTGTCGGATTATAAAAAAAAACGTAGAAAAATTTTGCACAATAAAATATTCTGATTCACTTCAAATTGCACAAATATAGTATATACCTTGCTGGCAATTGACATATCAAATTCTATTATTATCCACCAAATATTTTTATAGCGACTGCATTGTGTTTTCTACATATTTATAATATACAGTGTAATTCAGAATGTCTAAGGAATCTATACAGAAAAAAGAATGTCATATGTTTATCAAAAAACACTCTCTCGTTAACCGCTGGTTTTATTGACTGATTTTAAAATAATGCCGAATAGATAAGAATATCGATAGATGCATAACATTGCCAGCAAGGTACGAGATATTTTTCCACGAACGATTCTGGCAGACCAAAATTATTCTAGAAAATGACCGATCGAACCTTAGTTTCACTATACTCTAGTGGATGGTTAGGTACTTAAACTAATATTAGGAGTATATCATTTATGACAAAAACAAGAAAACTCCCGTCGACGTCTGATGAACTAAAATTCTTTACCTATTCCTTAAACAATCTTTCCATATACGTAATCCTTAAATGATAAGTCTATCAATTCAATTTACGCAATAAGTGCTAAATAAAAAAGGGAGAACCCAAAAATGGACAAACAAGTTGTCTAGACGGTTTTTCGTATGCATCTATATTCGCAGATAATTAAGCAAAAAGTCTAAAAAAGAGGACGTCTTATTTAAGAAACAATTTTTAGAATCGATCGATACAGAAAAAGTGCAAGTGATGAACGCTTTGAACATTTCAATGTCTACTGCTTATAAGTGAACAGGGAGATAATGATTTATCGCAAAAAATTATTTTCATGAACAAGATAAAAAAATATCGAATAGGTAAAGACGAATGTATATTTTTTGAATAGCGACGTAGATGTGCTGCAGCAGTTTAGCCAACATTGGTAGCAAAACACCGGGTGAATCCAGAAGTAAATACTTACACATCACCCTAATCCCACACAAAACACCTAAAAAATACGTAACAAGCACCCTTCCAACATCCTAAAGGAGCTATTGATCAAGTTACATACGATCTTTTGACGTAACAACGATACTCTCATTTATTATGGTATTCTCCAAAAAGATACCCAACCCTATGCTGTACAAGGGTGTATCAAAGAGTTCCTGAACTAGTTCTGTAACTCACCAACAGATGGCGGTTCCTGCTGTATAAATCAATTGACAACCTCGCAAAGTAGTGTTTGAGGTTTTCTTAAAATAAAGTGATTCTATTGCTAATCTTCCACATCATGGTGAAGTTCAGATTGAGTGCTACTCTTCCACTTAACCACAAACAGTTTACACACGCAAGATAAAACATCTACAGCTTATGAAATTATACTATTTACAAGCTTAGCAAGCCAGAAACATAAAAGAATGAATAGAAATAAAATAATAACAAAACAATAACTCAGGCACTGAAAAGGTGTTCAGCTGCTTTCTAACCGATTTCTTAAAGGTAGCTATTTTTGTTTATTAGAAGTACTGAGTAACAGATCTTTGATACAATGAAGTATGGTGAAGAGGAATATCGAGCTGGTCATCATGACGCAACTTTCTTGTAATTACTTGCTAGGTACATAGGTCTCTTGGTGACGATTATTTTGTGCATAAAACCTAACATTAGAAACTCAAAAAGATTTTTGAGCCTCAGCCACTCCAACTCAAAAATCTTAGGTTTTTTCATACAAAGACCAAAAACATAATGACAGCAATGGATTTGAATTTTCCGCAATTTTGTTGTTGTTTGGAAGTCAAGACAAGGATAAAAGAGGATGAAACAGTAAAGCAGCTTGGACATAACTAAGCTCTATACTAATTTCTTTCTAGTATTGAAATTGAGGATAACGCGATTGGAGGAGCCTCAGCCTTGCATATAAGTAACTTTCAATACAGGGTGTCCGCAAAGTTGGGGTTTTCCTTTTCAGAAACAACTACCCTTGAAATAACAAAGGTAATGTGTAGTGAAACGAACGCGACCAAGTAAAAAAAATAAAGGAAAAAGTACTCACTCTCCGGTAGACGAGAAGGGCTAAGTACGTCTCTGCCCGAAATCATACCGCTCCAACAGAAAATGAAATCAGCTGAAGCGCTACCGAGCAGACGCAGAAACCACATTGATTGTCTTACACTTAATGGCACATCTTCTAACAAGGAAGGCAAAATGTTGCGTAAAAAGTCTAGGTATTGCATCCCGTCCAATCGATTTGGGAGAATAAATGGTCCAATGAGCATACCGTTTACCATGCCAGCCCAAACATTCACCGAAAATGTTTGTTGAAAATGTGCCCGACGGACTGACCAAACATGAGTGTTGCGAAAGTTATTCACCCCATTACGCGTGAACGTAGATTCGTCTGTCACCAATATGCACTTCAAAAAGTCCGGATTATTGTCATGTTGATGCAACAACCACTCACAAAACCGCACTCTTGCTGGAAAATCGTCAGGTTGAAGGGCTTGTACACGTTGGACGTGAAACGGATACAGCCCCTCTTCACGCAGCGTTTGCCACACTTTAGTTTTTGATACTTGCACTTCTATAGCCGCGTCTCTAGTGCTTGTTGGGGGATTCTCGTCTACGCGATTACCTCTACATGCGTGACCGTAACCGTCGGTTGAAGGTTGCATACTGACCTTGTACAAGTCGGTGATGTCGCGGCTACAGGACGGTATTCAGATATTTTTGATGTTGCAGAGCCCTTTATCTCGGTTCCCTTAAGACATTGGTGTATATGGTACTAAGAAAAATTGCTTATGTTTTCAAGATCTACACGTCGTGTAAAGAAAAAGCCCAACTTTGCGGACACCCTGTATAATACTGAGATGGTGATGAAATCCAAGATTTACGTTGAAAGTGACACCTAAACATTTTGTGTGTACGAACGTTATTTACCCTCAAGTCAACCATCCTTTCAAAACGTTCATAGTTGATTTCGCTTCATCACCATAAAGTGCCACGCAAAATTTAATGTGATGTCTTTGCTTAAACTCTTCGTTCACTATGAAATCGTCGATAAAAGAAATCAAGCAGGCCAAAAACACTACACAAAATTCTTGTAAAACAAAAGCATATGAAATATGTCAAACACATTTTTTCTAGAAGTTTCGCAAGCCCGGTTAATATAGCTCATGTTACACAGTTTTTTCAAATTTTCTTATCAACGCAGCTACCTACTTATCGTTAATGTTTGGCAATGCTTCCATTTTGGTAATACAGTTTTGTTATTTCTACTCTTTCTTGAACTGAAGTCATTGTTCAATATTTATTACAACAAGGTAGGTAACTTGACAATTTGAAATGAAAGACAAAGTTTTTCTATGACATACGATACGATGACACTGATGATAAATGTTCTTGCTGCTCAAATAGCTTCACAACGATCGAAGATAGGCATAAACTTTATTATACAAAGGTTACTAAAAACCTCATGGAGAATATAAGAATAGAACAAATGGGGGATTTCATTTAAAAATCTAAAATTTAACGCAATATCTTATTTTTGGATCACTCTGTATTGTACGGCTTTAGATGAAAAGACGTAGAAATCAAAACGTGTTTGAACATTTTTTCCCAAGATATACCAGGGGTGCGATCTTTTCGTTGGACCACCCCGTATAAGGAAATTTCCAACACTACTTTGTTAAGAGGTTATCAGGCGATTTATACAGCAAGCACCGAGGCACCATCTGTTGGTAAGCGAAAAAGGCAGTCCGAAAACTTTTTGATGCACATACGTATTTGTAGTAATTAGTCATCAAGTAGTTTAAAGTTAGAACAGTAGCCAAGTAGCCAGACTGTTACTTTCTGATACGATGTTACATATTTTTCAGGTTCCATGCAGTGAATATTAAACCATGAGTAATTTCTAACTCTTTGACCACTGACAGTTTTTACATAGTTTAGCTACAGTTATTGTTGCAACCCTACATGATGGTAAGTGTGAAAGGTGAAAAAACGAAATCCTTGAAAATTGAAAACGGCAGGATCGAATCCTTCACTTGCAGCCTCTTTTGTGAGGACATACAGGGTTTGTCCTGAAAGTAACAGGACTGAGTCGATTTAAAAAAAATTATTGAGCCAATCGTTACGATTCTTTAAAAACTTTCAAAATAGGCTCCTTGTGCGTCGATGCAGCGCTGCCAGCGAGATTTCCAAGCATTGAAGGCGTCACGGAAGGCATTCTCCGGAATAGCCTTGAGAGCCGCGGTGCATGCTGCTTGGATCCCCTCTGTCGTCTCAAAATGCTTGCCTTTCAACGGCCTTTTCAGGCGAGGAAACAAAAAAAAGTCCGGCAGGCCACATCTGGGCTGTAAGGCGGCTGCGGAAGCGTTGGGATGCCGGCCTTGGTCAGGTAGCTGTTCACACAAAAGGCGGTGTGAGCCGGGGCGTTGTCGTGATGCAACTTCCATCTTCGCGCACACCTTGCGCATGTTCAAATGCTGTCGCAGATTTACCGAGTTTCACACAGAATTTAATCGCGTACCTCTGTTCTAACGAACGCTGCATTTTCGGCTTGCACCACTCACAGTAACAGCGGAAGGAAATGAGTCCTATTACTTTCCGGACAAACCCTGTAATTGCATAGCCGTCAACTTTAAGGCTTCCTTAACTCACTGATTTCTTCAACGGACGCGATCGCATATACATAACGGTGCCTAAAGTCTGGCTTACGGTAAGGATACCTCAAAGAACGGCTATGCATGTTGTGCAATGATTAAAAATTATTTTTGTTATAGTAAAAATAACGAAAAATAATGCTTATGTGGAATGCCTAGATACATGTATTCGTAAAGATGCAGAGTTGCAAACAATTTTTAACGAAAAATCTATGCTCCATTCCTAGTAAAATCTTCCGCTGATACAGCAACTGAGAAGAGTAATGACGAATTTTCCTAAAATTATCGAATTAAAACAACATCGAGCCTATGACGTCATAATCAGGTGTTGAAAGTATACCGAAAGGAAGATATTACTAGGATCGAGCCGGAGTGTAGGTAAAGTTCAAGCATATAAACAGCAGGTGGTCTCACTATACGCGGCGACTACTGTGACGTCATGTAATGCCTGCACACTTCACTATCGGCGATGATCGTTGATCGTATGATCGTTCATAATAGACACGATCATCGTGCAAGCATCCACACGAGCATCGGTAGTAGTTTGTCAAACGGCAAGCATCAATATGGACGTGGAGTGTCATGCTCCTGCAACGCATACACCCGGCGATTCCCTTTTATATGTGACAATTCACGGTCCGATGGCGATCATAGACGATGATCGGCGAGTACAGCCGAGTTTGCGCTCTACACGATCGTTTTTAATCGCCGATTGTGAAGAGGAGCCATAAAGTAGAAGCATCGATGGACTGATATCGAAATCGAAGTTGGCCATTCGTCATGACGTCGTAGCAGTCGGCGCGTCCGGTGAGACAACCCGGTGTTCACATCCTCGGGTAAAGTTGATGAGCGGGTATAATCAACAAGCATCAGCCACTGTAATAAACACATGAAAATTGCAATAAGTACTGTTTTTTCGACGTCCTTATCACCAGGGGGCAGCAGCCGTCTCTGATCTGCGGTAAGTGGTACGCTGCAATAATATATATACCTTCAATAATCTTACCTTCCTAAGTCGGATGATGATTCACTCTCATTCCGCAATCTAATGCTTATTAGTAAATCGCCTATATTATAACAAAAGTAAAAAGGAATGAAAAGACAATCGTTTGGCCTGAGAGGCGCGTTTGAATAATCGACTTCTAACACTTTGAATAACTCTAATCCACAACAGATTTCATGATCAAACCTTCGTGCATCGAAGTCAACTTTACGTTATTTATAGTGTCCCAAAATTTACGCTAGATTTGAGTTAAATATAAAACACGATTTTCTTTAGATTACATTTTCATTGAATCATAAAGCATACAGGATACGGTTATACAGAGCGTTATTAAAGTACGTAGCCGGACTTCAGGTGATTTAGTAATTTTAGGATGAAAAGTTCATATAAACATAGGTCCAGAAATGTTTCATTCTCCTAAATACCCTAATAAACTTTCAGTCGATTTTGTTCAAAATTTAGCAGTGGTATTAGGGGCAGTAAGAGGCTAATTTAACCCTAGTTATATTGAAATTATTAAGAGCAGTGGGGTTCCGAAAAAACAATCTAACCAATATCTTTGACATAAAATTTGTGCGCCAGTGACTTTATTGAATTTTTATTTATTTTTTTCAAATAAAATACAATTTTCTTGTCTGCTGAGTTTCTTTCATATCTCGCTTCGTTTGCGAGATGAAAAATAAAAAGAACTTAAGTATGTTTCACAAAAAGTTTTCTCTTGACACGATCTGGAACAATCTTCTTGAAACTACATGTGTTATCCACATCAATTTTATCCAGTTTAGACAGAAAATCCAAAGCCGCATCAACAAAGTTCACATTAATGCATAATAGTAATGGAAAATGCCTCTTGTTCTATTCAAAACATAACCCTGTGTCCTTCATATCTCAATATACCAAACTAAAGAAGAAGACTATTTTATATTCAATTCAAATCTTGGGACATCCTATAGGATAAAATGTAACAAATTCAGCCCACACTGCTGATCAACATGGGGTATAGGAATCGCCAGATTGACTTTTATTGCATCTGATGATCATGACAAATGATTTGTTATAAAGTGCGGAAGTCTGATTATGAAAACGAGCTTATGAGGTAGGCATCTTAGTATTTTATGATCAGGCATGTCAGTTAAAGAGATGCCTTAACACCAAAATTTTTAAACAAAAATTATTTGGTATATTCACTGTTTGTATAAAAAAACATGGCAAGTGATATGAATACATTTAGAGCCAATATTAGTAGTCATACTACATATTTCTTAAACTGATTTGATGCAGATTAATTGGTTATTAATCCTAAGAAATATTTGTTGTAGTGCCATTTTTTCTCCAAACATACTACCAATTCACAACCGTTTGATACTTCAGTACATATGCCTTTTTATAAAATAATAAGTGACCACCTCTACATCTACATCATCAGGTTTACTGCATGGAAAATTGGTGACACTACAATATGTAATTTTTTTAATTAGATGAAATTATCGATATCTGTTATTGAAATTTTTTGTTTTTACTATGCTCCTGGTCACAGTATGTTTGGAGCAACATAGTTAGGTGAGTTCCATCCTCAGATCTACAATTTTAAGCATGCTTCTGATATATGTTTGATTATGCTGGCCATCTAGCTTTAAGAACCATTCTCCAGCCAGAAGTACTAGTTTTTGAAATGCTTATCAATTCATGATTGACTGTAGGAGTAATGTTGACTTTGCTGTAGAGTTGAGGATTTCCTCTACACTTAACTGCACTGGTTCAAGATATGGCCAGTTGATGTGTATTGGTCATATACATTAACCTACTTTTCTAGTGTATTGAGAGCATATATTCCTTTGTAATAAAAATGAGCAGGAATGACTGAATAACCTGGTATATATACTTTAAAAACCAATAAGAACCAAATCAATTTCTAGCTTCACAATATAAACTATGCAAACAGGAAACATTCCAAAAATCAATAAAAAAGTAAAGCTCAACCTATAGGTAAATAAACAACAAAAATTCTATGAATTAATGTTCAAAACACCAGTGCAAATAATCTTAGGAAAGAATTTTTTGTTCCAAAGCAGCAATATTGTCCACATGAAAAGAAAATCATCACAAACTGAATAAAAAGTGTGGAGACATTAAAACTACCTACACAATATGTGACTCACCTATCACAAATGCCTCTGAAATAAAAAACAATTTGTTTAGTTACTGCCACAATGTGAAATGTAGCAGAAACATAATTTTGTCATCTAAAAAAACAATTACATTACATTCCATCATTTCCTGTAACCTTCTTGTTTATGTGTATACCACATAACTATGAAAATAAATATGTTATAATTTTGCTAGTTACAGGTGGAATTTAGCTATAATTACCAGTCATAAATGACAACCTTGAACGGCTGTTACAAGATGCAATTAGCTATAATTATCAGTTTTTACAAGAAGCAATTTGCTATAATTGTTAGTTACAAGTTACAATAAGCTATAATTGCCAATTACAAGATACAAGTTGAAAATTACAGATAATTATTGCAACTTTTATCAATTAATTAACTACTATAGCTTATTGCAATTTGACAATTATAGCTAACTGCATCTTATAGCTGACAGTTATAGATGATTTATTGTCACTTATAACTGCCAATTATAGCTAATTGCCACTAGTAACTGACACTTATAGCTAACAGCATTTTTTAGCTGACAATTATGGAAAAATGCATTTTGTAGCTGTAAATTATTGTTAAATGCAACTTGTAAATATTATATTTCAGAATGTCCATTCATCATTATCATATCAAGATGCAATTTGCTATAAATGTCAGCTCCAAATGCGGTTAGCTATAATTGTCACATGTAAGTGGCAATTATAGCTAGTAACTGGCAATTAGTGCTAAAAGTATTTTGTAGCTGACAATTATAGCAAACTATATCTTGTAGCTGTAAATTATAGCTAGATGTGACTTGCCCTGTCAACCATAACTATTTTTTGTCAGAATGTCCTCTCATTGCTATCATATCAAGATGCAATTTGCTATAATTGCCAGCTATAAAATTCTAATTGCAACTAGTAACTGACAATTATAGCTAACATCATTTTGTAGCTGACAATTACAGTAAACTACATCTTGTAGCTGTAAATAATAGCTAGATGCAACTTGCCCTGTCAACCATAAATATTTTTTGTCAGAATGTCCTTACATTGCTATCATATCAAGATGCAATTTGCTATAATTGCCAGCTACAAAATGCTAACTGCAACTAGTAACCGACAATTAGCTAAAAGTATTTTGTAGCTGACAATTATAGCAAACTGCATCTTGTAGCTGTAAATTATAGCTAGATGCGACTTGCCCTGTCAACCATAACTATTTTTTGTCAGAATTTCCTCTCATTGCTATCATATCAAGATGCAATTTGCTATAATTGCCAGCTACAAAATGCTAATTGCAACTAGTAACTGATAATTATAGCTAACTGCATTTTGTAGCTGACAATTACAGTAAACTACATCTTGTAGCTGTAAATTATAGATCAATGAAACTTGCCCTGACAACTGTAAATATTTTTTTCAAAATCTCTTTTCATTGCTATCATATCAAGATACAATTCACTATAAATGTCAGCTACAACTTGTAGCTGTAAATGGTAGCTAGATGCAACTTGCCCTGTCAACCATAAATATTTTTTGTCAGAATGTCCTTACATTGCTATCATATCAAGATGCAATTTGCTTTAATTGCCAGCTACAAAATGCAAACTGCAACTAGTAACTGACAATTATAGCTAAAAATATTTTGTAGCTGACAATTATAGCAAACTGCATCTTGTTGCTGTAAATTATAGCTAGATGTGACTTGCCCTGTCAACCATAACTATTTTTTGTCGGAATGACCTCTCATTGCTATCATATCAAGATGCAATTTGCTATAATTGCCAGCTACAAAATGCTAATTGCAACTATTATAGCTAAAAGTATTTTGTAGCTGACAATTATAGCAAACTGCATCTTGTAGGTGTAAATTATAGCTAGATGTGACTTGCCCTGTCAACCATAACTATTTTTTGTCCGAATGACCTCTCATTGCTATCATATCAAGATGCAATTTGCTATAATTGCCAGCTACAAAATGCTAATTGCAACTAGTAACTGACAATTGTAGCTAACAGCATTTTGTAACTGACAATTACAGTAAATTACATCTTGTAGCTGTAAATTATAGCTAGATGCAACTTGCCCTGTCAACCAATAAAAATTTTTGTCAGAATCTCCTTACATTGCTATCATATCAAGATGCAATTTGCTATAATTTCAAGCTAAAAAATGCTAATTGCAACTAGTAACTGACAATTATAGCCAACAGCATTTTGTAGCTGACAATTATAACAGACTGTAACTGTAAATTATAGCTAAATGCAGCTTGCTCTGAAAATACAGTTTATAAGAAGTAGTATCTGAAGATGATGTTTTATTGGGCAAGACAGTATAAAACATCTACAACCATTTTAGAAAAACCCTTCATGTAGCTCATTTTAAAATGTCTGTATCAAAACTTTTTTACACGATGCAAATTCATAAAAGTTATCACTACTGACAGCTGTGCATTTCCTTTTATTAAAGAAAAAACATGAGGTAATTATTCTTTAGCTATTTAAAGATAATTTGTCATATCATAAAATTGTGGCTTTATTGCTACATCTGCAATGCAGCAAGTGCAAATTTGAGAGCATACCTCCACACCTACTCAACTCCATCAATTGATTTTACAGCATTTCCAAAGAATCAAGGATAAAAAGTTTGTCTGAGTATCTGTAGTGTTCCAATAGCATTCATATTACAATAACTAGAGATTTATTATAAGAACAAACGATTTATTACAAAAATCCATAGTCACCCATTTTCCATCTTTGAATTAAAACCCTAATGCAGTAGTTCACAATCTAGGACAAGGTTGCTGGTACAAGATGTGTCAGAACGAGCTGGAAAATCTGGGTTACTTGGTGTAGACAAAGATAACCTCTGCCAGTATTGATTTGAACATCCTGGGTATATTATGCAATTTTCTTGCACTTCCCTAACGTATTTGACACCTATTTCCAGCACAATGTCCCAAACTGATGATAAATAACAGTTGTCATTCCATTTCATAGATATTTTACGAAATTATGGGAAGCAACCGAAATTCGTCTTTCGCCAAACCACCATGTTTAAACCAGAAAATTGTCTTACCTTTCTTGTCCGTCATTGCTTTAGTGATTCTTGTAATAAGCGAGATTTAATATCATTCAAATACTATGAACACCAACAGTTGCAAAGCACCTTCGGAGGAAATTGATTTGGATATTTGAGGAAATTTAATTTTCACACACTACGGTAAGATAGTCGATGTCAGAATCGTCAGAATTCAGAATGACAGGATGCACAATGTAAATTGAAGCAGATGGCGCTTCAGCACTACGTCCTGGCTACGTCATTGTATATGCGATAGTGCACAGCAATGCAACTATCGGCGATATGAGTGGAAGACTATTGGAACGATTAACGAATGACTGCACAGCGTCGGCAATACGACAGACACGATTACACGCATCAACGTGTTACGGCGTAGGGCTAGCTCTCAAGGTCACAGAAAATCATTGAAAAATTCATCCTATGTTTCATTGAATTGCGCTGCTGACTTGTATTAGATATATTGTAGCTCCGTGATGTCTGGTGTTTTCCAGGTAAAGACGAATGATCAGATCATTGGAAGGATTCATTTTTTATTCAAATCCGAGCGATTCGTAGTGAGTTTCGTAATGTAAAAAAGAATGGTTCAATCTGATTCTCTAGATTTCGAGTATATAGATATAAACGACTTTTATTTCAGGCGAAGTTTAGCTACAAACTATTCTACCACTTAACCCATAACATAACGTCTCCGATTTTCATTCCGCTAGGTCGGCACGGGTATTACGTGTATCTTGAAAAGTGACATTATGCCGATTTTTTTTACATGGTATCGTTTTTTATGACATTATGTAGGTTTTTCTACAAGATGTTGACTTAGGACTTAGGCCCGTATCGTCAGTCGTCCCTACAATTGAGGGCGCGTTTATGGCCTCCTTGATTGTCATCCTCCTTTCTCTCCTTCAAAAATTTGTATATTACACTTGACCCGTATCAGCGACAGCGCTCTCCTATTGTAAAGATATGTTTTCTTTTTAAATTGTAGGAAATTTCAGGCTGACAAAACATGATATAACTCAAAAGCAAGCACAATTTGATGCAAATAGATGTTTGTGACATAACCTCAAAATAGAGTTCTGACACGGAGAAGCAGAAAACTATGACAATCAAGGAGGCCATAAAGGCGCCCAACAATTGTAGGGACGACTGGCGATACGGGCCTTAGTTGCCTAAATGTCATGAGGTTTCAGTTATCAACGTTTGGCTCAGATATGATGTAAAATCTGCTTCAGAGATGGCATCACTGGAGGTCTAAGCTGTAAGTTGTATGTGTTGATGACGATTCCGTTGGATTCTCGTCTCAAATACACTCATTTGAGATTCAAAACTAGAAATTAGTTGCGCATCCACTTTTTCTTATCCATTCTGGAAATTACATATGCAGAACTCGGGCGCGGTGATGATTTCCCGTAATTCTCAAAGTTTTTCGTAATTTATAACTTTGAGCATAACCTGTCTTCAGAAAGGACAACATATAAATAACCCGTCGGGCACAGATAATAGATATACTTCATTGACAGCACATTCAGTAATGACTTTCTCACACAGTAAATTACACTGGGTTTATACACATGCAGACCAATACACATAATCATCCAGATGCGATCTTGCTATTCAACCAACTTTCTTCTCAGAGATAAAAACTACAAACCACTCGGCTTCACAAAATATATGCAACCAACAATGCGTCTAGTTTAGTTGAGTGATTCCTCCAAGATGACCTCTATAGGTTTTTACATAATACCCGTGCGGATGGTTTTGATTTCTATTTACAGATCCTATAGGCGCGTCGGGCAAAACTGAAAGACGTCCATGACTGGCTTTAAGCTTGAATAGTGGAAAACGGCAACACCGCTCTTACATTTGCCTGTTTGACGTTTGTCTATTGTCAATTTCTGCGGCAACTTTCAACTTGTGGAAATTGTGGTTAAGTATGGGATAATTTTCTGGATAATTTTAGGAGTAAAAAACTGTATTTGTCTTTGTTTGTAGCCGAACCTTGAAAATGATTTCCAGACAATTGCTGCGGGTTGTTTCAAAAGTAAGTATATCGCTAAGCATTGAAATATTTTGACTAAATACACAATTTTGCAGCCCGCTACAATTTCAAACACTTTTCGCCAAATTTTGATTAGGGAAAAGTCGTACACCCCTTTGAATACGGTAATCATGTTTGTCCCACAACAAGAGGTATGTATTCATCATCTTTTTCTGTAAAGTTGAATACATATTCCATCCTTATTCCAGGCTTGGATAGTTGAAAGAATGGGAAAATTTCACAGGATATTAGAACCTGGTTTAAACGTGCTTATACCTATTGTCGATAAAGTAAAATACGTGCAAAGCTTAAAGGAAATAGCAGTAGACATTCCAAAACAGAGTGCTATCACCTCGGACAATGTAACTTTGAATATTGATGGTGTTCTGTATTTGAGAATCATAGATCCATATTTAGCAAGTTATGGCGTAGAAGATCCAGAATTTGCAATCACACAATTGGCACAGACCACAATGAGATCCGAATTGGGGAAGATATCATTAGATAAAGTATTTCGTGAGAGAGAAAATTTAAATGTTTCTATGGTTGATTCGATAAATAAAGCTAGCGAAGCGTGGGGGATGACATGTTTAAGATATGAAATCAGGGATATCAAGTTGCCACCTAGGGTGCAAGACGCAATGCAGATGCAAGTTGAAGCTGAGAGGAAAAAAAGAGCTGCTATTTTAGAGTCTGAAGGTTAGTTTTACCATTATCTTATTGTACTTGTATGTTCGAAAAATTATTTTATTAGATATTCTGGCGTCTTCTATGAGAATTTGTCCACTTTGCAATTACTTTAAATTTACTTTGAAAAGGGTAGTGACTCATAGATTGTACTGTAGTAGCTGTATGAGCACATAGTCCTCTTATGCAGGGTCCATACCAAACCAACGAAACAGCTACTCAATGTTTTTCAACCATTAAGCAACATTTCGTGTTTTGTTTGCGTTCTGCCAGCTTTTGGTGTTCCTATCACGAGTCGGTAAAGATCAAAAGGTTTCTGTTTTGTTTTCATTTCAGTGCGGTGTGTACTTAGTTGCGAAAATATAAAACAGAAACTAGTATCAAAAACTTACCTTGATAGATTCTTTGAGGCCTTCAGTTAGGGCATCTGAAGTTTTCAGTATTATTATTGATATTGCTTGTTTTGCTATTTTTGACTATACTATATCTAAAACTGCAATGACTCATCGATGTTCACGTGAACATCACTTAACTACCAGTAGTTGGCTGTTCATAGGCAGGGTATGAATGTTTAACATGGGTGAACTAGATTTGTCACATGCTTAATAAAGAGTGGTTTGAAACATATTGTAAGTCAAAAATTTGGGAATTACCTTTATTCATCGTCGCTTCCACTTACATCTGACAGTAATAAACTGTCGCTATCGCTTTCCTCGTTGAAATTGACTATAACTGGCTCTATGATGGTGTCGATGTGGTGGTCAAGCTGCCACATTTTTGTTTCTTCCTTCACAACATGACGGATAGCATTCTGCCAAGCTTCGGGCGTTACTAGCTGTATGGAAGTCTCAAGTAAAACCTTAACGTCTGTTAATTTGAAGGTTGTGTTATGGCGCGCAATATAACCCTTCACTTGAGCCCAGATGAGCTCTGTTGGGTTCAGTTCACAGTGGTAGGGCGGTAACCGCAGCACAGTGACACCACATTGACGGGCCATCTCATCAGTCACGTAACTAATGTTCGCAGGTTTGTGCTGTTTAATTTTTTCATACAATTCCGCTTTCACACAAGAATCGTCAAACGGGATTCCATTTTCGCGCAACCATTGCTGCATGTCACTTTTTCGAGATCTCATAGTCGGTACACGTTCGGCTCGATGACTATGGTAGGAAGCATTATCCATGATGATCACAGAGTTGGGCTCAACTCACTGAATCACCTCTTGAAACCAGCTCTCGAAGCAGCTGGCATTCATTTCGTCATGGTAATCACCTCCTTTCTTAGAGACGAAAATCAAGTCACACTCTTTTAAAAAGCCACTATCGCTACCAATATGAGTTACGATCAATCTTTGACCTTTCCCTGATGGTCCACGAAGACCTGTTGACAAACCTTCAATGCTTGCTTGTCGGTTACTCACTACGTTTTTGTCTATTCAGGTTTTTTTAACTGTGTGACCTGCATTTACCCATGTCTCGTCCAAATAATAGATTTTTCTGCTTTGTCGCCTATATTCAATCATTTCGCGTAGGTATTTTCGACGCCAGGCGACTATTTCAGGTCTCTCTATCAATACTGACTTCCGATTACACGTTTCGTAACGAAAATTAATTTCGTGCAGGGATTTCCTCATTACCTCGACGCTCATTTGGGGTATCATTTCATTTTCCTTGATCGCTGCATGTACAGCCTTGAGGGTTGGTATCTCATTCTTAAAGAAGAATGAATGTACGGTTCGCCTTAACGCCGTTTTGCTATCGTCATCCAATTTAACGGCCTTTCGTCCCTTCAAATTAAACTTTGGATCAGTAGTAGCTTCAGTTTTCTTCTTTTCATGCACCACCCTGCGAATGGTCCACTCTGGAACGCCTGTCATACTTTCACAACGCGCGAGTGCATCTCCCTGCGACATAGTTCTGTTCAGATAATTGAACACGTTGAGCACGATTTCTTTCGCGTCCCTCTTCAGTGCTTTACGAAGCCGTCTACTTGTTCCCTGGCTTTCAGTACTTCCACTCATGCCATTTGTACTCTCCATGGTTAAGTATAACCAAAACAGTAACCACAGAAACTACAACAATAACAATCACACAACAATTCTTATAAAAACACACAATATGCGATCGCTCAACGAAACACGTTCCAATGCGTTGCCGACGCCTATGAGTCTGCCGGTCGAGGCGCGTCTTTGATTTCATTGGTTCTACCGGCGGAGAACAATCAGCCATTATTTCCATCTCTGTCTGTGCTGTTGACCACCGCAAAGCCACAGAAACGACATATGTCGTACGCTATACGGCTGTACTGGAAGGAAGCCGGGATCGAGCTCTGATCACGTGTTGATCACGCGTATGAGTCATTACAGTTTTAAATAGTTGTAGTATAGTTAATGACATTTCTGAAATTGGTATTTTTTTATAAATTTCAGGACTAATCAGCTGTATTAATTCTTCAAAGATTTCACTGGATATTCTTAAAAAGTTCTCGAAACTAGAACGCATTTCTCCTCGCAATCCAATACCATCCTTCAAATCGGAATACCACGATCATCTCTTTCATGTAAGGATGGTCTCACCCAAAATTATTTTTTATTTTACCAGTCACAACTCTGGAGAAACACATAGCCAGCAAACATTATGATAAAATCTTTGCGCTTGTGCGTTTCAGCTAAAAACGCCACATATTTTCACTCTGAAAATTTTTGGTGTGATCTGCACAAAACAACTGAAAACATTTTTTGTCTCCTTGCAATTGCTCATTTGTTGCGTTTCTGTTTTTTTACTTGTTTTGTTGCTTTGGTGTGGACCCATCATTAGGTAGAATATTTTAAACAGTTGCCTTGCTATGAAATTGTCAGTCATGGGAAGTTTTTCCTGGTCTTATATTTAGAGGTTAAACATGAAGAATATGTTAACATGGACAAAAACGAGTTTCCTGGGTAGATGCTGCAACTGATGTAAATTTGAAATTGCCATCCTTAAGGGTTCCTGAATGATGCACTTTTCACCTCAAATTTGTCGCCATGATGCTCTTATGATTTTTGGATGATCATATTTGGAGTCAGTACTCAAAATTTACCTGAGTGTAGCATATTTCATTCAGTTGTAACATTTGCCAATTATAGTCTGCAATAGCACATAGGCTGCTTTTTATCGCTTTAAATAACTTTGAAATATCTATTTTACACGTTCAGCCCAAACGGCTTGATGGAATTTATCATAAGGTGTCTGACGCGGAAGAGTTCAGTTGCTGGTCCGACCGAAATGAATATAAACAGGACATTTGCATTATGTATTTACTGCGTTTCTACATTCGTTTTCTTAACGAGATCCATCTTGATTTAGATCGGTTTGGTGGTTCGTTTTACTTACTGTAATTAAATAGCTATTGGGTTAGGATATTTTTTAAACTTGCATTTTTAGCTTTTAAACACTTTCAATTTAATACTTGATAGGTGTTAGAGAGGCTGACATAAACGTAGCCGAAGGCAAACGAAAAGCGAGAATACTAGCGTCTGAAGCTGAGCGGCAAGAACAGATAAATAAAGCAGCTGGAGAAGCTGCAGGTATAATAGCCTTGGCCGAAGCTAGATCCAATGGGTTGAAGCTCGTAGCTGGTGCGTTGAAAGAAGAACGTGGACCTAATGCAGCATCATTGAGTATCGCTGAACAATATGTGAAAGCTTTCAACAAACTCGCCAAAACGAATAATACATTGATCTTGCCAGCAAATGCTGGAGATGTATCCAGCCTTGTAACGCAAGTGAGTATATGTGTAATTGTTTTTAAATTTAATGCAATGCTATAAGGCTTTATGCACAACACTTTTTGTCCTGTATATTTGTATATAGTTGTAATCATAAACATACATTTTTGTTAAGATATGGCAAAATGAGGCTACAACCTGCTCAATTTTTGAAAAATCGCCTAATAGAACTGCTGCCGTGTTATGGTATCACGAAAACTGAAATTAAATCCTCGTGATTTCTTAGCTGTCTTTGGGAGGAGCTTACAAAATAAATAAAAATGCTGGGTGTCCTGGCGGTACCAATTCAGATTTGGGAAGGACTAAATCTAAATGATCTTTACGAATTGGTAGTTTCTTCGCAGAGACAAGAAAACTGTTACTTTCCGAATTTTAATGAAATGTTTATTATTCGTAGCCCTAAAGCTACTTCCTATAGTTTATAATAGTGTCTTACTCCAGTAATAAAAAAACAGTAATTCTAGATTCCCTTAAAATGCGAGATAATGATATACAGTTATCTTAACACAGAAAGTACATATATTATGCCAATTTATCTAGATACAATTGCTTAACCTTACGAATAAATATATTTACAGACGTCGCTTCTCTAATTTCTGTAGGTAATGCATTAAAAAGTCTCAAACCATCACTAAAAAGACATTTTAGCATATGGGATGTTCTAGCGAATTCTATGTCAAAAGTGTTACGTGACCTGATATTATATGCATGCCTCTCGGACCTCGGTATTAGATATTCGTGCAAGTATTCAGGCAATAAATGATTTTTTGTTTTAAAAATAATTAAGACATTTGACCGTTCAACCTTTTGCTGCATTGAAAGCCAGTGTTCTATATCATCGTTTTAACATTTTTCTCTTGTCCTTCTTAGTTTTTTATTTTCTTTTTCTGTGTATACATGTAGTAAACTTTTGCGCAACATATATCTTTTTATGTTTTTAATATTTGCTACCTAACAACTTTTTTTTTGCATATGTGGTTAAGTGTAAGTTGTTAAACTTCATTCGCAAGTCTTTTTTTCTGTATTGTTTTTTTTATTTTAGGCACTCAGCGTTTACAGTACAATTACCAAGAGTGACGAAGCAGCCGAGAAACATTCTTCTGCACCATTTAAGAAAATTTTGCCGCCGGAACCAAAGGACGACTTAGCAGAGCTGTTTAGCGATGAGGAAGAATTACGGAAACATAGACAACAAACGCTACAAATCAATGTAAAACCTGATAAAGTGTAAATGTTACAGATTCTTTCGTCTAATTTACCAATACCAGCATCAAGCGCTTACCAGATTTTTTTGGCACAGGATAAAAAAACTATTATTTGAGGAATTTCTATATTAAAAAAAATTACAAACGGACAATTTTGTTGATTATTTTTATATCCTTTTTTTTATACTCAAGGATTTTTTTTTCAGTATGGAAAAATCAAATAAGCATTCTAAAAAATAGTACATGCTTTCTACAGAAATCTTCAAATTACATATACCAGTCCATAACAAAACGAGAAACATGCTCACCATAAGTGAAAAGTGACCATCTAAGAAAAATATGCATGTGGAATCTAAATTAGCTAATCTATTTGTTGATAACATGTCTATGAGATAATGCTGTGAATTATTTTTTAATTGGCCTCTCAGCTACAAAAAAAAGCATAGGAAGTCTTAGTCACAGTCAGTTTCCAAAACTTTATTTATGATTCTTATTATATCAGATTTCTGTAGAACTGATACAACTTATGATTATTTTCAATTAAGAACAAAAACGATAAGGACATTTGGTTACGATTTATAATGCCTAATGTCAGTCGGATCATAGAGTTTTCTAGAAGTACCTTTTCCTATTTTCTCTTCACCTTCAAATACGTTAAATAAGCTTCTGCATGATTGCTGCGTTCAACAGACCTGCTGTTTTGATTGTCTCTGCATCATCCAAAACCTTAAAGATGGAAAAATATATAAAAACTTGTAATAAGTGATATATTATATATATATAATTTTTTTTCGCATTGACCTCGGTACATATTAAGAATGCTTATCTCCGAAAATATGAGGTCTGTAAATAAAGTGATGAGACTGGCAACGTAGCGTTCGATCTGACAACACTGGAGGCGCTGAGCTTGGAGGGGAGACATGGAAACATGTGATCCGCCTTCAGTACACGTTTGAACTCGCAGGAGTCATTTGGTTGTGGCCTCCCTATTCGCCCGATTTGAGTCCTTGTGACTTATTTCTCTTCCTGAAGTTGAAAAATCACCTCAAGGGAACTCATTTTGGGACAGTCGAAAACGTTTAAACGGCTGTACCCAACCAGCTGAATGTTTTTCCAGTATCGGAGTTCCAGCACTTCTATGAGGAGTGGGACTGTGTCCAGCGCTGTGTGGCTTCAGGGAAAGTTATTTTGACGGTGACAATAAGAAAAAAATTACAGACTGTTACCCGCGTAAATTAAGATATAATTTGGCCAAAGAATGTAACTGTGTTCAGTCTGTAGTTAGTGAGCCTTCAGTGGGTGGTTCTTTGTACTTTGGATGCAAATGGTTGTGGTTTGGGCGCCACCTAGTTCCAAGAACTAGGAAAAGAAATAACAAGAATGTTGGGTCTCTGGCGTTAAAGAAGATACAAACTCACAAGGTAGACAAAGTTTATTGAACAAAAGAAATAAAAAAATCCAAAAGACGTCCTGGAGAACAAGCAACAGAAAGCTATTTTGTACTATCGCCATCTAAACGGCTAGGTAGGTGCTTGGCTATCACAGGTAGGCATCTGAGGACAGGAAGTCCTAGATGTAACTCAATACCCGAAGGTAGAACGCTCGTGCAATGAGGGTCCACAGAAATGGGGGACTGCTCCTCACAGACGTGAATCCACTTAAATTCGCCTCGGAGTATCACTGCTGTCAGTTCCCCTCAGCTCGTTGGTTTAGTGTAGTTATGACAACGAGTAAATCCCCGATAGGGTGAGAAAAAGGGCTCCGACAACAAACCACACTACTAAAGGCAGATTTCTATTAAAATCTCCACCACCCGATAACTGCAGCACTGCGTGTGAAATTATTTCACTAAATCGGGTTGTGGGCCGCTTAATTCCTACACGAGAGCACCGGAAATAGCCCAAGTCACCTTCAGCTCTAATATTTACGGTCGACATAAAAAATGACCTTTAACGAGATGGAGAGTAGAGTACGATTTTCTACCATAGAATTATTAGACCAAGAGAAGTGTTTTGTTATAAAAATAAAATTATTCTAAATAAGGAAAACGTACTACTTTACCTTTATCAAGATATAGTAAATTTTTAGTCGTCCATAAAAAGAAACTGTAACAAGACCTCTTAAACTAACCTCATTAAATTGCCCATGGAATTTTATCTAATAACATTGGGAACAGGGAATTTGCATATTTTTTTGGATTTCCAGTCGATTATTTACCTTAATAATAATATACCAGAAAGACATATTTCATTTATGGAAATGTCTGTATTTTTTCAAATTAAGGAAGTCATGGTTTGACATTTTATTCTATGTTTGGTTAATTTGCTGTCAAATTATGAAAGGCTATTCTTTCTGAAGCAATATAGACTGCAAATAAAAATAAATCATATTCATATTCCCTATTATGAATAAAAAAATATATGTAAAAAATTTAATCAAGGAAAATGAGGATAAATGCATGTAGCACACCTTAGAAGGATAAGTAGTTAACAGGTTGAAGGTTTGTGCCTGGTATTGGGGCCTCGCATTTTGGATGAAAGACCTCACTTCTCCAATGGTATGATCATGATTGAACTGGCCAACTAGTCTTGAACCGTCTGCTAACCGAATCTGTAGACTGCAAATAGAATAATTATTAAAATAGTTCTTTTTTAAAAGCACCAAATCTAAAAGTAAATAAAATCACCTAGTAGTTGGTTTAGTTGTATCTAACTTCAGAACTTCCTTAGCTTTAGCTTCATTTACTGGCTTATCCTCTTCCTTACTTGCTCCAACCACCGCAGGTGCTGGGCTACCCAAGGTGTATCCCTGGCCCTGAAAAGCCTTAGTACTCCTCTTCTTTTGCTGAGGTTTGTAAGCCTCCATTCTGCGATCTTCCATCGCTAGATGAACCTAGATCAAAAACAAACGTGAGCGTCTTTACGATTGATTAACATATTCCACTCGAAGATTCCCAACACAAAAGCTGCCTTAAAAACACTATACCAAATATTACTAAATCTAGAATCATATACCATCAACATGGTTTGGAGAATATATATCATGATATGCCATGTCTGTATGTGTGGAGATATGGCATAAGATAGAAATGGATTTGTCTGGACAGCCACTTACAATTAGAAAAAGTTTTTCAAAAGAAAACATGTGGCACTTGGATCCATGCATTATTTGGCAAACATCACATGGATGACCGATTTTTGGGACAACATCTAACTTCTACTCAAATACAAAAAGCTTGTTAGTACTCAGTTCTTTTGTTCCATTTGTTTTAAAAGTAAGCCCATTTCCAAAGTACCTTTTTGGGGACCATTTTAGGCTTACTCCTTCAATAACATAGTGGAGATTGGTTCCTGTATAAGACTCAAATTGGTCAGACACGGATGAATTATTAAAATTAAGTGAACAATTCCACACTTCAGCGGCATCTACAGCAGAGATTGAAAGAACTTTTTTATATGACCTGATTTACGAAATTGCTTAGAAAACCAGAAAGCCAGTCAAATGGCCTTCATGTTCAAGTACACGAATCAAAATATAGACAAAAAAAGCAATGTGACTAACACCATTGTTGATACCAATTCATCAGATGAGGATATGCCAATATCAATGTTAATCAATTAATGAATAATAATTTATTCATTTTTTCATGTATTTTTTTGGTAGAGGTAAAATAAAATGTCGCAGAACACCTTTTTATGTGTTTGTGCCTTTTAATGAATAAAAAAACTGACAATTTTATATATAGGATATTTATAGACATATGATATTTTTGAAACCTGACAGTCGATGACCGATTTAAATAGCTATAGAGCAATATTTTAATGATACTTTCGTTTGGACGACATTATTTGTATAATAAGTGGTTTACAGCTTTTGTATGGCATTTGTACTTGTAAATAAAAATTATTTTACTGTCATTATTAAGTACAGCAATGTGTTGGGCATCTTCTTGGAGAATACATCAATCAAAGGTTTGCAGCACTAACATTAAAAAAGATATATACCTCAGCATTTCCTTGTCTCAGCTCCTGAGGTATCTCCCCCCTTTTGATACTGTCCAAGAACTGGGCATTATTGGGATCTGTGTACGGTCTCAAGTCACCATCATTGATGCTGAATCCGTCTCTCCATAACCTCAAATGTACAATTGCTGGCCTCTGTGGCTCAGCAGCTCCTGGTATGATTTCGGTATCGTTCTCATCCTGGCCCAATTTATAGCCGGTGCCTGGAAATGTTCTATTGCTTGAGCGGGATGAGGTTGCAGGGTCTAATACCTCAACACCATGGCTAGAATGAAAATTTTGATACAGGATTTGGAATCCACATGCCCAATTTACTTTAAGGGTGAGCTTTTTTCCAATAACGGATATTGCAGGACTTTTTATTTCCCATAATACATATAAATACATGATATTGTAGAGCAAAATTTCCATTTTCTATTGGTTCTAGCAAGTGAAACTTGCAAAGTTTAGGCAGAGGGATATTTTAAGGTTCAGTGCTCAAGGGCTTCTTAAGATTTGCCATCCCATAAAGGAATGGAAAATAGCAAAAGGTTTTTATTGAAGCAGTTTGAGCTGCCCCAAGCTATGACCCTAGGGCAAATACACCCCTAAATTTTTGGCAATGAGTTTGAATATGACCATCAGGAGATTGGCAACTGTCACAGTATCAAGCCTCAGATAGAAAATGGGCTGTTTGGCAATCACTGTATGTTCTAGCATTGAAAAAATATCAAATTCTTGACACCAAAAAAATAGATCTTTGTAGTCACACAGATTTTAAAAATCTTCAGACTTGAAACTTCAAAATCTCATAGTAATTTTCAAAAAATTCTGACAGCAAACCAAAAAATATAATGGGACTCTTAAAGGTAATATTTTAATTTTTGCAATTGGTTACAGTTGAGTGAAGTGTTGCAAATTATTTGGAGCTCTACATTTGAAGATCTTAAATGGGCTGCCTGCCCCATTAATATGATATCAAATTTTTAATCCAGGCACCAGATTCACTGGAAAAAGAACTTCCTTTGTCAAACCGAGTTGATGAACTTACTCATGAACTGATTGGAACATGTCAGCTACAATATCACGTTTCTTGGGCGGTCCAAGGACCTGCTGACCGCTATTTTCTGAGCCTCCTGCATAATACGCCTGTCCCTCTTCCTCTTCATCACTGGAGGTTGTTAAAGTGTTCATTGTTGCAATATTTGAAGACCTAGGCTTAGGTTTTGGCCTATTTTGTGAAACTGGCGAGCGATCTTGCTCGCGAGGCGTGCTTTGAGATTCGCCTGCTGCTTCAACATCGCCATCATTCTCGTAATATCGAGCTAAGGCTACCTGAAATCAGTGTTTTTTAGGGTCGTAGGGCTATCGTTTTGAAAAGTATCTAACCTCAACTTGCCAAGCTGCCGATTCTAAATAGAATTTAGCCCTATCCTCGCTTACACCGGTAATAGCAGTGAACTGCGTAACTTTATCGTCTTGGTCAGACATTTAGATCAATTTTCGTAAAAGAAATTTCCGACAAACACCACAAACAGTCAGCAACTTTTTCAAAACTGACAATACTTGACAGGACAGGATAAGAAAGTTGTCAAAGTGGAAAATGCCAAATTTTAACGAGCGCCATCCTTGGGACAAGAGCATAAGCTTGCAAAGTGCCATCTTTGGAACAATATTTAAACGAAAGTGGATTGATAGTAGGTAATGGTACTCTTTATACAGAGCCATCTCTGAGACAATGATGAAACTTAGGTGGAATGAGAATATGTGTAACCATCCACAATGTTATACAGCGCCATCTCTGGATCACTAGTTCAATCAAAAGTGGGTTGATAATAGGTATCATTACTCAATAACGAGCGCCATCTCTGGAGTAAACATAAACTTAAGATGGATTAAGATTAAGTACGAGCACTCGTCCTAAATCTCAGACGTTGAGACGTTGCCAAATCTACTATTTTTCAATAGATCTGCCAATTTTGGGTAACCCATAGTCCTTTTTGCGGTTGTTGGCCGTTACCTCAACGTCATAAGAAATGAGTAAACAAATCGACTGACTAAACCATGTGCGGAGCTGAAGTTTCATAGAAAAACTGGGCAAACCGATTTTGAAGACAACTGCTCCTGCACACATGAATTAGGAAAGAGGGTCTCTGCTTTCATTCACCCTCAAAATACTCCAATAATTTTCGCAAAAAATATCGACAATGTCCGATCGAAGGTTTAGGTACTGTTATTTTGAAGATCTGTAAAAGATAAACTGAAAATGTCCATGTCAAGTGGATTGTCACATTCACAGTGACAAACATAGATTAGTAAAACTCATACGTTGAAGAGAAAAATCTCCGAGGTGGCGGGAACTAAAGAACGTATGTCTGCCATAAAAAGTCCTCGAATAGAGGCAGATTTCATTACGTATCTGGGAAGGAGATAGATGAATGAAAATAATACCGGTGCGTAGTTTTAGCCTGTCCTGCTAAAAACCGTGAAACGCACGAATTATTTAAAATGTATATCTCGCAATGACTACACAGCGTCAGCCAACGGCATGCGGTAGCATTCTTTGTATATGATCTTCCTGTACCAAACAACACTTAATTTACCGTGCCACATAACCCATAACGGAAGAAACTTGATACGTGTCGAGTTTTTCATGATTTTGAAGGGAAAAGAAAAAAATACAACATGATTTACTCATGATAATCAATTCCTCAAAGACTTTTTATTGAAGTGTATGAAGCTGAATTGGCAACACCGCTTGCTTATGACTGGCGATTTTGTCAAAGATAAACGAAGATAGAGGAAAAGATAACTAATTGATTGTTATTAAGTATAAACTAAAAAATGCATTAAACCGATAAGCATTTGTCATGTGTCAATACTTATCATTAATCCACCTTATGCGGAAAGCTCTATAGTTCTCTGTCAAAAAAAAACCTTGCAAGATTAAATATTTCGCCAGCAGATGGCGCAACTAGTGTCTAGAAATTTAACTTGTTTAAAATGATTCTTTCAATCATTCTTAGTTGTTTCGTATACAGCGGATAATCAAAAAATCCCTCAGGATTGATGTAATATCTTGCGTTTATACTTCACATCATTATTATGAGAAATTCAAGTTGCAGGCAACACACTATACGCTTGCCTGTTATGACTGTTGCCACAACGACACACCCACAAATATTATTTTAGCATTTTCTGTTTGAAAAATAACTTTTTTCTTCTGATGCACCGTTTTTCATATAAAGATAGTATTTCATCAATGAATACAATTAATAGTAAAAGCTATTGTCAGAATTACATATTTTATTATTTTGCATTGCTTGTTATATTTTAAAATACCGATAACAAACTTTTTCCATATAACTATGTACTACCTAGATGTCTAGGATCTTTTCTTCATAAAATTTTGTTGTACCTTTGTAAAATAGGAAAATAAAAATTCTACTCTAATTTGTACGTACATAAAAAATAAAGCATGATATTTGGGTTTAGACAACTAAATTCTGGCGCCGAACTTTTATCGTATTTCTGGGTACCAAAGTTCCCGGAAGTTTTATTATCGTCGAGCTGGATGGCCATTGGTCTCCACTTATTCAATTGTTTCTGTGCTCCCTTTGGTGGAATATGAATTAACAAGTCTTTTAGTTTTAAAATAAGGTTGTATACGGTTAGTGTGTGTTTTGGTGCGTGGAAATCTGTGAATTTTTATTGGTTTGGAATAAATCAGTGGGTATATCCTGAGGGTGTCACCTAACATACGAATTTCATAGGGTATGTAAAGCATGATTACTAATTAGGTATATTTTATACCAAAAAGCCAGCTTAAGTAGGACTAGGCATAACAATGGTTTTTGAGAGATCCTAGTTTTAAATACTGTCTGAATGATAATTTAAGCTCTGGAAGGGAATATGTAAAGTCTGCGATTGTGTTTTCGGCCAGTGACTTTAAATATCCCCTATCATATTTTTGTGTTGAATCTGACCTACTGATCTTCTGGGATGACCAGCAATTTATAGGCACCGTACTTGACTCTTGATGGTAGAAACAATATTTATGAGAATATACCTGGCTCCTAAAATTTTTCAAAGAGAAGTGGGTGCTGTTGCGTCTTGTAGAACTTCCTGTTTTTCCACTTAAAACTTTTAGAGGGTAGTCTGATAGATTATTTAGAAACAAAAAAAAAGTGTGGATGAAGTACGCTTTTCATGAAAAAATCTTCTATCCATCATTATTTCCACCGCCATCTATCTGCCATATGACGTAGACGTCTGTGCATACGTCATAATATGAGAGGCGCTTGCCTGCGGTGTTGCCGGATTGGGCTCCGCATTTATGGAAAAATATGAAAAGTTGAAAATTTATATACATATGTATATTAATTAAAGAATCACAAAAACGAAAATTTGAAACAAACAACAGTAGCAAAATAAAAGGCGATTCCTAATAAGTATAAATCAAAAAATAACAGCAGTAAGCTAAAAAATGATAGATTATAAATAATTATAAAAAACAAAAAATAAAACAGTAGTAAAACAAAAACTAATTCCATGTAATTATAAAAATCAAAAAATAACAAACAGCAGTAAAATAAAATGGTATTCAAGTCAGGGCTGTCCAACTTAATGTGGCCCAAGGGCAACTTAAAAAAAATGCAGTTTGGAGGGCCGCATTATAAAATCTTTCTTTACAACATTATTACTGAGTTTTTATAGGTATATACTATACTATATTTGAGAGTAATTTATACATGTGATGTATACATGATCCGTGAGGCGGGCCGCAAGAAAGGAGTTCGCGGGCCGTATGTTGGACAGCCCTGTTCTAAGTGATTATAAAATACAAAAAATAAAAACAGTAGTAAAACAAAAAAAAAAAACAATTTCATGTTGAATATAAAGCAATTCTTAGTGACAACACAAAACAAAAAGTAAAAACAGTAGTACAACTTAGAACAATTTCATTCCATCCAAATTGCTTTTTAATTTGCTGTTTGTTATTTTTTGTTTTTTTATAATTAAATGGAATTGTTTTTTTGTTTTACTACTGTTTTAATTTTTTGACTTTTATAATCACTTAGAATTGCTTATTTTACTGCTGTTTGTTATTTTTTGTTTTATACTTAGTGAGAATCACTTTTAATTTTACTACTGTCGTTAGTTTCAGTTTTTTGTTTTTATGTTTCTTTAATATAAATGTATATACATTTTCCACTTTTCATATTTTTCCCTAAATACGGAGCTCAATCCGGCAACGCCACAGGCAAGCGCCTCTCATATATGACATATCCACAGACGTCAGCGTCATATGGTAGATGGCGGTGGAAATAACTGCTAATACAGTGTTTTGGGAAAAAAAATCATGAAAAGCGTGCTTCATCCACACTTTTTATGATGTATAATAATTTATCAGACTACCCTCTATAAGTTTCAAGTGAAAACACAGTGAAGTGTATCTGTCCATACGTTTTGGACTGTAAATATACTCATGACCTTGAAGGTCATAGGATCACGTTATCACGTTCATGATCACCATCAGATGAGCCTCTTAAACATTTTTCTCTATGAAACGTATTCATTTTAAGGTATTTTGATCTTGACCCATAATGACTGACTATGAAATACTTTGTGGTAACATACTGACATTTGAAAGGTCATTTTATAGCACTAACTCAATACAGCTACAATATAAAATGAACGATTTTATGATAAGAAGTGGCGTCAAGTGGATGGACTCTATACTTCATACACCTTCGTTGGAAGTTTCAAAGAAAACGGATGAGTAATATAGTTTCAAAAAGCGAACAAATCGATTTCATTTTCATTTCCGATGTCCGCCGCCTATTCACGGTTTTCTGTTACTTACACACAAGTCCATATCTCTCATTTATGTCGGTTTGTTAGTCCGTTTCTGTTGTATATCAATGCGTCATGAGTACTGAGTCAATCTACTTGACGAAATACTCGGAGAATAGACGGAAACGCCAACGATTATAAGCACATGATACATTAGACTTTTATCATTGAACTTTTCCATTGTCACCGGGATCAAAAGATTCTCAATGATAGAACGTCTTTTTAATACTAAAGACCTTACATTAACAACTCCCTACCCCTACAAACCACAACCCTCATGTTTCAAACCCTATAATTTTTTTTCCGAAAATGAGCAGGAGCCTCTGAAACGTGAAAAAACGAAGCTTAAGAGATTTTGCTTTTTTTCGTGTTTGTGCCCTTTTATCAAAATCCGAGCGATATTTCCCTAGTTATGGGCGGTGGTAAAATTAGCGGTTGGACCGACAGACAGACAAACACACCTACAGACCGACATGGTTTTTCTTGATACAACAATTAAAAAACATAATATCTCAATTTCGAAATTTTCCGCTCTTTCAATTCTTGTTACATACAGGTTTGACACAGGTGAAAGATAAAATGGTTAAATTTTCCTGGCAAAATATTCTGTAACACTCGGTCTGTCAAGTAGCCACCAACTCCTCCGCAGTAACTTGGGGCGAAACTTCTTGGCTTTGCTTCCAGCGTAGTGTATACTTTCTCAGTAGTGCATTAGACGGTTAATTTCGGCCTCTTGATTCACTTAAGATCCATTAAGTGACTGACCGAAAGCGGTAAGGGTCTTTAGAACTTTGGAGACTGTCTTCGTCTCTCTCTCTCTCTCTCGTTCTCGCTCTCCCTCTCTCTCTCTCTCTCTCTCTCTGTTGCCGCAAGTCAAGCGGAGCCAAATTAGATATGAAGACATTATATCAAAGGCTGAGACGGAACTTTCAAGGAATTCTAGGGAGTATACGGGGCCACTCGAATTAGTTTATCACCACATTTGGGAAATAGTAGGAATCAAGAGATCGATATATTTTGGCTTGCAATGGACCCATTGAACGTGACCTTGATTATGATTTTCTGGATCATTTGAAGGTCAAGGCAGTTATCTCAAATAGAAATCGCTATATTTGACACAGGAAATGTGAAGAGCGTGAAGTTGTTGTCCACGACCTTCACTATGACCTTAGATGTCACTTTAGAGCGTCCAAAAGGTATGGAAAGGACAACATATGTAGAGAAATATGCTACGTAGAAAAAAAGGCTGCAGAACAAGTTGCAAGGTTTTAAAACGGTCATCTAAAGGTGTCCTTGAACGTGACATTGACCACGACATTAAAAGTCTTAGGATAGCCGAGGATTTAGTGAGACGCAAAAATGACTCTTCAGGAACCAAGAATAGGAGTATCCGTTAAAAAATTCTTTTGATCCTCAAGTGACCTTAAAGGTCACAGTCAAAGTGATAGTCGAGTACATAATAGTACCATTGACCGTACAGGCTTTCGTTTTTTTATACCCCCGACAAACAGGGAATTAACTTAAAAATTTGTCTCATCTTCAAATGACCTTGAAGATCATTGGAACAGATCTACTCCAACGTAAAGTTGTCAGCGAATTGATTCAAAATATGTTTGTTGTTGAAAATCAATTTGATCTTCAAACATACTTAAACATGATGTGTGATGTGTGATGCTTTTGGCATTTGTGGTATCAGAAGTGGTTTCCATTCAAAAAAACTGTCTTGACTTTCAAATGACCTCAAGGTCATAGTCAAGATCACATCTAGATGAGCTTGCAACGTTGTTTTGTTGCGTTTTTCCTTTTGAAACTTATTTTTCAGGATATTTTGTCATTTCAATAGTTTTAGTTAGTTAGTCTGTGGAGGTCAACGTCAAGGTCATAGGCAAAGTTATACTTGAACGTGAAAATACATGCCCTTTACATCTCCTTGTAATAAAACTTGACCTTTAAATAACCTTGGACGCCTTCAGACGAGCGCTTTTAAACCTTACAACTGTGTTCTGATACCTTTTTTGTTCGAGATATTGTTTTCCATTTTTTTTCCAAAAGTCATACCTGAACGTAAAATTTTCTGTTCATTACATCTCCGGTGTCAAAAATAGAAGTTTAAATCCGAAAAAACTGTCTGGACCATCAAATGACCTCTAAGGTAAAACTCAAGGTCACCACCAGATGACCGCATTCAAACCTTACAACTTTGTTCTGCTATCTATTTTTTTGTGAAACGTATTTTTCGAGATATTTTGCCCTTTGCATACTTTTAGAAACCATCAAATACCCCTGAAAGTCATGGTTAAGGTCATGAGAAAAGTCAAACCTGTAGATAACATTTTCTGCTTTTCACCTTTGCAGGTGTCAAAAATAGGGATTTCCATTGAAGAAAACTGTCTTGACCTTTGAGTGACCTTGAAGGTCAAACTCAATGTCACCATCAGATGACCGCATATAAACCTTATAACTTTGATCTGCTGCCTATTTTTTGTGGAACGTATTTTTCGAGATATTTTGTCCGTTCCATACTTTTGGAAACCATCAAATACCAGTAACATTTGCGGTATCAAGAAGAGGGATTTCAATTTGAGAAAACTGTATTGGCGTTTGAATCATCAAACACAAGGTCATCTTCAGATTACCGAATTTAAACCTTACAACTTTGTTCTGCTACATATTTTTTGTGGAACGCATTTTTCGAGATATTTTGTTCTTCCCATACTTTTACAGACCATACCCATGAAGGTCGTGGTCAAGGTCATAAGAAAAGTCATACCTGAACGTAACATTTTCTGTTCTTTACATTTGCGGTGTCAAAAAAAGGGCTTTCCATTTGAGAAAACTGTATTAACATTTAAATGACTGCAGATCAAACTCAAGGTCACCTTCAGATGACCGCTCTCAAACCTTACAACTTTGCCTGTCATCTTTTATTTGTTAAACGTATTTTTCGAGATATTTTATCATCTCCATACATTTTACAAACCATCAATAGCCCATGAAGGTCATAGCCAAGGCCTTGAGAAAAGTCATACTTGGACGTGACATTTTATGCCCTTTACATCTCCGGTGTCAAAAATAGGAGTTTCTAGTTAAGAAAACTGTATGACCTTCAAATGACCACAATCAAGGTCAACATTAAGTTGACTCGAGTAACGATCATTGCAGTTCTTCGTGGGGCACCACAACATAATAAAACAAATTTGACCAAACGCCATTTTTATTAAGTAACATTAATAAACGTTTCCAGAGATACGACCAAATAGTCGGCGTCGCAATTCTGTTGGCAACTAGGACGGAAAGTGCCTGGTATCTAGATAGTTCTAAGATTAATATTGTATTGTCTTGCGCCGCCTTCCAAAATCTGCAGATATTAATCTTACAAATTGCTTTTTGGTTGCTCGGCCAGCGGCCAATATTTCTCTTCATTATGGCCTTCTTGATTTATGAAACGTTCTCGACCACGGCTCGCTGCAAAACGTAATCAATATTAATAAAATAATCATTTACCAACTAGCTGAGAGAGTTTTTAGCGGTGGATAGTGTTTGTGAGGTTGGAACTAGCTTTATATTAGATTTTATAAAGGGTTACTGGAAATTTGACGTATTCCTTCCAGGACGTGATAGAAAGCGTAAAATACAACAAATTTCAGCGATATACAGGGTGTTTTCGAAGATGAGTCATTTATTTTAACAGATTATAGGACTCGTCGAAAGAAGTTGATATACCAAAAATCACCTATATGTATAAAACTTGCATAATATTAAAAAAGTCAAGACAAGAAATTAAAAAAATGTGATGGGACAATCCTCAACTACTGACAATACAAGCCAAACCTTCTCAAACTGCCATCAGCATGTTCTTACCATTCAATCTGGCATCATTTCATCGGTCCCATTAGCAATGATTAGATTGCCTGTTCTGCACAAGATAGAGCGTGGGATGAGCGCGTTCAGGGAGTTGCCATCATCACGAAAGTCGTAAAACTTTCCTGCTTCTCCTATTCCTGCTCCTCAAGCAGAGAAACGGCGTTCGAAACCAGTTATGACGGGAGTTAATCCAGCTGGAAATCTGTGGCGAAGGAGCCGGGATGCGGAGTTGCCAAATCTTCAGTGCATCGCTTAGGCTGAAAATAAGAAACGTGTTAGTACTCAAATCATATCCAAAAAAGCTCTAGAATTTGACTACATCACGCGATGATGATCATTCGGTCCAATTGATAAGTCAAATTTCAAGTTATCACATGTACGGGTCTTGTACATTTACAAATACTGACTGGGGAAAATGACTACATTGACAATGACCTTAACTTTGACGTTGAGGGTCAGTCCAAGGTCAAATTGATTTTCTTAAACCTTTTGACCCCGAATATTGAAAGAGAGGAAAGGTTTGGATGTGACCTTGACCATCACCTTGAACTTGACTTTGAAGGTCATGCCAAAACTTGCGTTCGTTATTGTAGTGTTACAATAAATTAAAAATGTCCTTCAAATCCGTCAGACGAATTTTGTAAAAAAATCGCTAAACTGCCTTTTGATATCCTGGAAAGTTTGCTTCCAATGTCCTACTGATTTCTTAGCATATTTTCTACAGAATTTTTCTAGGGTCTAAGGTCTAACGCCTTTACTATATCTTGCAATGGTTCCAATGTCCCGCTGATTTTTTAACTTTTTCTCTCAGGACATTTTCATTGATTTTGACCATCAAAAATCATACATTCGTTACGGTACTTCTACAGGGTGATTCCAACATGCACCGCCATTTTTTAGGAAAATATCGAAACTCAGAGGTTGCAAATTTCCGAATACGAAGTCCAGATCTAGGTCAAGATCATGGTCAAAGTCCTCTTTGAATCGAACATTTTCCGATCTTCTGATTTCTGGGATGAAAAGTATAGGCTTACATTCAAATAAATCGGATTCACCTTGGAATAACCTTCAACGTAACTCTCAAGGTCATGATTAAGGAATATACAAAGTTAAAATTTTTTCCTCCTTCGGTTTCCAAGGTCGAAAGTAAGGGTTCCTATTCCAGAGAATAGAGTTGATCTTGAAATTACCCTCAAAGCTAATACCAAGGTCATGGTCAAGGACATCAAACTTAAAATTTGTCTTTTTCCAGTTTCTGGGGTCTAAGGTATAGGTTCTCATTTGAGGTAATCGATTTGACCTTGAATGACGTGTAAGGTCAAGGTCATATTAAAACCTGGAATTTCCCTTCTTTCAGTTTACAACGCCAAAAGTATAGGGTTCCATTAAAGAAAATTGCTTTCACCTTGATATGAAACCCAAAGTCAAGATCAAGGTCATGGTCAATGACATATGCAAACTTGGAGTTTTTCCTTCTTTCAATTTCCGGGGTCAAAAGTATACCTTTAAGGAAATCAATTTGATGTTGAAATGATCATGGAGGTCAAGGTCATTATCAAGGTCGCCATTAGATTGCTTAATTAAAATCCTACAACATTTGCGTTGGGCATGGTTTTCTGGGAAATAGGGGGTCGGGAATTTTCATAAATATTTCTATTTTCATTTTCTTCTTATGCAAGTTCCAATGATGTCACATTATCTGCATAACAAAACTTAAGTAAACGTTCATATTTAAATATACATAAATATTAGGATTTTAGCTGAACACTGCATTTATTCAGCATCAGTGAAGGAACAGGTCACTATTTTTTTTGGTTTATACACAATAATACTTATTCCCGTGGACAAAGATTTTGAATGTTGTGATTTATAAAAACAGTTTATAGGAATTCTTATCAGCCATACGCGGCAAGTACAAGGCTGACCATTCTTGATGTTGACCATTCACCATTGAACGCCAAAGAAAGTACAACAACAATACATTACGATGATACTCAAAAACGATCTGCATGCACTCGCGGAGCCTCGGTAGCATTGCGAAGACAAGACCCTGACCGTAAAGTAAAATATTATTGACAACTCCGATATTGCTGTATGAGTGTGCCATTTTTTTAGAACCGATGTGTAGAGGTTTACTGGTTACTGATAGGTTTGATTTATTTTGCGAAGCCCAACATTTCATTAACCTTAAGACTTTGGTCGATATGTTACTAGAAAAAAAGCTGCCCGGGTAAGGTTCCAACTTTCACACCCTGCATAATGGTCATCGATAGTCACTGCTTTCTAAAAAGAAACGTTGATCGACTGATTAAAATTCGTGGTAATTGTAAATGTTTACAAGAAAACTCTAATGTCCTCAGAGACGTTCATGTCTTCCCCTCTCTCGAAGTTTCATCAGCCCGTTGCCCTTGGCAATTACTGCAGCTAACTGTGGCGCTTGTAAGACGCGACCGGGAAGTGTTCTCCAGGGACCCCGTAAGGACCCCACTAATACCCCCCCCCCGCCCCTTTAAACTCCTTCCTATGCGAAGATAATTTATTCATGGCCTGCTTTACACGACTGTTTCAATCGGAACCAGCGTCTGGATTAAATGCGTTGCCATGTTGGAGTAACTTTGCATTAATTGAGATCCGGGAATTTGGAAAACTTTTCTTCGCGTGGTAGAAATGCATTGAAGTCTGTTAGTTACTTAGCGTTTCGAAGATTTGCATTTCATCATATCCCAAGGTCACTGATCAACGTATTCTTACTTCTACCTGAAGTAAGCCCATCAATTATTGGTTTCCGGTACCAAAAAAATGGCGTCTAGTAGGTTGACTCTGCACTTCTTACGCAACGTTGTCGACAATTTGTAAAGGATTATATTCGGTACAAGTTAGTCAATATTAGCAAAAAGTTGGCTAGTAACGTCGGTAGTAAGCCCAGCACGATGTTGCATACACGGATACACGCATCATCGCTCAGTGATCCGTCAGCATTCAAAGCAGATGCTCATTGGGTTGTCCGTTACGCGTATATTGAAAATATATCTCTATCACTCGAGTTTCAAGGGCAAATATACAGGGAAATCTATAATGTATGAAATATGTCTAACAGATGATAATACAAAAATAAGCCTTCATTGTACAACAGCTTAAGAACATTCGCGGAGCAATCTACGATAAAAAATGAATAACCATCAGGTATTTTGTATTAGTTTAAAAAAAATTTAAGGATTTTCCGTATTTCTTTGGCCTGAATTTTAGTTTAGGAACAAGATATCGAGATGCGGTTTTCCCGAGCTTGTTTAGATATCATTGAGCTATTTTTTCATATAAAAATCATACCAATGCATTTATTTTTTTGAGAAAACTAACCCTTTCTGCCGGAATGTCGAAAAAGCCACATGTGAAACCAACAAAACTTCGAGTATTATAACATTTTCAGCCCAAGAATGGTGGTGAGATGAAAGGAAAACAGACAATCTTGAGAAGTTCGCAATTCCACAGCCCCGTATGCCGTACGCGTCGGTTACGTTGCTCTCTATTACGGACATCGTTATCGCAATGCTGATAAGGCTGTCGTTTGCGGAGACGGGGCCGTTATCAAGAAAGCGACGTTCACCATCTTGAGCGCGGTTGTTAAAACAGTAGCCAACCCGTAAACCCGAGCAAGTTTACTTCGAGGAACATATCAGATGGATAGACAACGATTCAACTTCAACGTACGTTGAAACCACGACAAACACGGTTTCACCACAAGAGCTTTTGGTAGACGAAACGTTACTAACGAGAGCATTTATGATGCATGGCGCGGAGTGGGGTGTCTACTTGTCAGAATTGATTGCATTTAATTGTTCATGTGTCCGCGATAACAAAGAGTAGGCAAGGTTATATCTGTTGTGAGAGGGGGTATATCTGCAATTTTTAGTCATATTTGGTTTTTGATATCTAGTGAATCAGTAGGATTTTCTCTACTCATTGCCGGTTTATCAGACAAAATAAAAACAGTTTTTTTGAAATGCAGTATCTGCTCAAAAATGCTTTATTAAGGTACATATACTAAGTGACATATAAATCAGAACACCCAGTTTAAATGGTTTTATTTAAATAAAATTTTGTATAAGTACTTAATGAAGCATAATAAGTAAATGATAAAAATTTCAAAATGATTGCACTGCTTTAAAGCCCTTTGACCTTTAATAATGTGTGGATGCACCCTGATGTGCTACGCATTCTCCAACGCGCCTAGGCATGCTTCTGATCAGATGGTCAATGTCCTCCTGTGGTATCTCATTCCAGGCAACCACCAACTCCTCTCGAAGTGCTTCTAGAGTCTGAGGAGGACGTGGCAAATTGAGCAATCTTCTACCCATCATATCCCACACGTGCTCAATTGGGGATAAGTCGGGAGATCTTGGTGGCCATGGTAACAATGTGACATCATTATGTTGAAAGAAGTCTATTGTGACTCTTGCAACATGTGGTCGGGCATTATCTTGTTGGAAAGTTGGATCTGCCAGGGTGTCAAGATAGGGTAAAAGATGGGGTTCTAGAACTTCGTGGATATAACGCTGCGCGTTCATGTTACCTCTGATGAAGATTAAAGGTGACCTGAAACC